ACGCGCTGTTCCCGGTTCGCGCATTGCCTGACTCGTGGTCCCGGGGTCTCTGAAGCATGCATCCGCAACAGGCTATTTTTAAAGCGCCCTCCAGAGCGTCGTGGCTCTCCAGGTTCGGCCATATCTAGCCCTGCTTGCGCGCGACGCGGCCAGTTTCCTACAGAGTGGCAATAGGTAAGGAGTCTATGATCAACAATCGCATATCCCGTCGACCTGCCTCCTGTCGCGCTACGAGATCCTCCGCTTCACGCTTTATTATCAGTCATCCTGCGCGTATAGGTATGCTGCATCCGCATAATTGTCGGGCATCATACGGGACTAAGCGTAACAGCAACCAGGACACGTGTCGTTCTAGTGACAACAGCGGATTGGCGATAATTCCACACATCAAAACACGGCCCATCGCAGAGGACCAGTGTGGATCAGGACGTTTTCCCTTCTCCAGACCCTTGGGCCCAAGACGACCTTCGCCTGTCTTCGAAATGGTCGACGATTTGCCAACGCTCCCAGGCTCTCTCATATGGGACAGAGGCCGATCGGAGGTGCGCCTGGTCAGCTCGCCATTCTCATCGTCCCCACCCATCGCCATCATCAGGGACATCCGCCCGTTACTGAGCAGCCCAGCACGTCTGAACGCGGTCCGCCATGCTACTGTGTGCTGTTCGCGGGCGTCAGAGCGCTTGGAGGCGGAGACGGCGATGCAGCGTTCGACGTTGGGGCAGGTGGCCGAGCCCGTGCCGCATACCACAGGGGCGATGCTGCCGCTACACGCGGACTCCGTTGCTTCTGGATACGAAGAGGTGGGCACAACGCAGCCGGCAGGAGCCGTCGCTGCTTTGGCCGTCTTGCTGTCGCGCCTGCCTGCTCTGGAGACACTCGAGATCCGGACCTTTGACCGGGTCGAAGATGAAGAGGACGACGAGCAAACCGCATCTCTAGCACTAGGAGACCCCGTCATCTCCCTCCTCTCCCGGGAGATGCTTTCGGCCGGCACCATGGCCTTCGCACACGTCAGGACGGCCAGGGTCGTTGTACCATACCCGGACGACGACCCCGCCGCGGAGTTCGGCTTTTACGTCAGCGCAGACACTGTGCTACCCCTGTTTTACCTCCCGCAGGTCCGCACCCTCGAGATGCACCGCGTTGAGGACGGTGGACGGTTGGTTTCATGGCCCGCCGGGGCAGGCCCCGTCTCCGCGACGCAGCTTAAAGAATTGGTCATGAGCAAGGCCCAGCTGACTGAAGCAAGTCTGGACCGACTTGTGCGAGCATGCCCAGACCTGGAGGTTCTCCGCTGGGAGCATGTTATCGATGCCGAATACGCCCGGTCGTGGCTTGACTTGGACGCGCTGCGCACATCGCTCGAAACCCTAAAGCACTCGCTACAGGAGCTCTCCTTCAGCGTGATTCTCTGGACATCCACAGCTATCGACTGCGGCGAGCAAGGGCCGTGGGGTATTCGGGGCACGCTGGCGTCACTCAGGGGGTTCTCTCGGCTTAAGCGCATCACTATCTCGCTACCAGTACTACTTGGGTGGAGAACAGATAACTCGGCAAGGCTCGCCGACGTGCTCCCCGCTAGCATCGAGTGTGTTACAGTCACTAACGAAATGTTCTTCTGGTGGCACTCCCGATGGGACGACGTCAAGTGGGAGGCGGACGACCCAAGCGCCCCAAGGTGGCACACACTCGAAGCTAAAATCATAGAGTACCTGGAGGCTAGGCCGTCAAGCTTAAGGCAGCTTAAGGTCGAGGTTTGGACAGCCGGTGAGACATCACGGGCTGAAGAGTTAAGGGAGAGGCTGACATCAGTCGGGGCTGCTACTAGTGTTCACGTCACTGTTGAGCTGAGGTCATAGTTACGGAGGCTAAAGGAGGTGAAAGGACGGAGGACTACAGACATATTATACAAGTCAAGAAGCCTTTACTTATGGTAAGGTGACTGGTGCCTCAGGTGGAATATCTGGTTGATAGTAGCTTAGCTGCGACTGAGATCACTACGTAGTCTCAAGAATCATCAAAGAAGCTATTAGGAGCCCAAAGACCCAAACGCATATGTAGTAGTTACCCACCAGCCTGTGTACGTCTAACATCAGCTAGAGCACGCTCATCTCACCACTGATCCCATGACTAAGAACGTCTAACGATACCTTGGACAGGGCAGGGAAGCATATGACGTTTCTCAGTGTTCATAATAGTCTGTTTCCACAACGGACGGAGAAGTGCATAGATAGGCTAATCTAACCATGTTTTTCTTTGGTCTCTTTTGCTCTTTGCCTTTCTCAAGCATCTCCTCACACCTTAAAGCAGCAGCTGACACTGTCTCAGCATGCAGTATGTTCTTGCCATCTCGCCTTTTGCAAATGCATATTGCAAATGCATATAGGCCTTAAACTAACCCCCTAGGCCGTAGTAGGCAATCATATAGGAAGTGGGATGTTGCTGCCATATCGCTGACACTATAGGTAAGGGACAACATTAAGCTACCCAACATAACATAACACAACAAATGGAGGTGGTGCCTTTGCCTATAGTTAGCAGGCTGGCGCATAACCCCTTTCCGACCATCAAGGCCAGTAGCAGTGACTGCAATTATCTACAGGCCTTGTTTCTGCTGTCGGAAAAACAGCTAAATGTATAGTGTATATAGTTGAACTAAGAAGAGCCCCACGCTCACATACAAATTACACTAGATGCCTTATTACTAGTAGGCAGGCCTAGAAGAGTACACTGACTGTTGTACCAAGGACCGTTAAAGCTAGACACGATGTTCAACAGCTATAGGTAGTCACTTATGCCTTTGACTACAGAAGCAGCAGCAGCATCCCGTCAGGGCTAAAACGTCATACCACAACACAACGCCTAGGCCGGTTGCCGCACAAATGAGCTAGGTAGTCCGAAGTTTCATCTTTAAGCCACTCTAGTGTTCAGGAGCATTATAGGGGGCTAATTCTCTTGCATCCCGCCGCTAGGTTGTAAAACGGGGTGGTGAAATCAGGGCTTCACACGAGTTCAGTCGCATATAAACAATCTGCCCACTGAGGTTTCACTCATTGACTTCAAAGGGCCACGGATCAGCTGTACTCATAAAGATAGCGGCAAGTGGCGTCAAACCGTAGCCGGGTCCAGGACTCCAGCCCTCCGTGAAAGCAGCGACAACTTCAAGTTATCCATAAGCTAGCAGTGGGATACTGCGTAGTAACTACTCCTAGGGTCGGCCTCTCGCCGGCTACTGGAAGATACGGACTATATACCTTAGGTATAGCTTATCCCAAAGAACTGAGATAGCAGGACGAGGTTGATGGACGTTTTGCAGGCACGACGGACCACCCTAGTATCTTAGCCAAGGTAGAGGTCAATATGCAGCGGGAATAAGAGGCTGCAACGCCGCGCAGCAGAGAGATATGGCCGAGGCCGCCCACTGGTATAGCTTAGCATAGTGCGTCGTGGCCCACCCACCATACGCCCTGTGAGCCGGGAGGATAGAGCAGTTTGGCACTGTCGCCATCACTACTTTATTATTTTAGGAGTCGCGTAAGCATACGTACGTTACCGTATGTTATAAAGACGAGGTCGGGGCACGGACGGCCCTCGTGATGTAGCTAGTAGATCTCGTGATACACCTGTTCATTTACGGGTGCTTTAAGGTACTCGGGAAGCTCTGTGCTCTGGCTATTCCATCTATTATGTGTTGGACTTGTGACCTAAGAACCTCCTGCCTCCTGGCCGACCACGCCGTCTCCGAGGAACTGTGTAATCGCAAATGTTGATATATTCTCACCTTCACGTTAGTTTCCTGTTCTGATCCCCTATCTCGAAGTGCCGCCGCACGAGCCCTCTATTCAAGATAGTGCCGGGGCCACTCTTCTTACAGGATATGCCCTAATGTGTTGTTACTCAGGCCAGCGGGGGCAGGTGGTAGAAAGGGAGGCACATATATAGCTACGAGGGACTGCTGATCAATTTCCAGTATCTCCCTCCAGGAAGCGAGAGATTTTCCAAAGGCGGGAGATCTGTCATATGGCCTCACATCTAATCCGGCCTGCCTCAGCGAGAGTCCACTCAGCGTCCGTCATCTGACACCCATCGGGACGAATCATGATATCCCGCTACAGGGATGCTTGTGATCTGGCTATGAGATTCAAGGCTACCGTCGGTTCCGCGTGGAGCTTGCCCGCCTTGTTGGCCGACTCGGCCGGGGGGACTGCGTGACAGTCCTCAGAGCGTTCGCAAGGTGGTAACTGCAGCAGGTCAATGTATTCATTATGAAGGTAATAAGGTAGCATCTATAAGCCTCGCCATCCGTCGCAGCCTGCAGTAGGCGATTCCAAGGCTAGACCCTGGGCTAGCTTACAGATAGGCCTCGGTTAGCACATTAGGCTGTGTGCTGCCGTCCGTTGGTGATTGCGATGCTAAACACCTCGTTTCCCGTCCTTGCGTCTCCTAACAAAGTGGACGAGTCCCAACCTGGCGAAAAGAAACGCAGTCCACTCCGCAGCGCGCTCCATTCTACGGCTTGATTTGAGGCCGTAATAGTCCTCTAGCGAGGTTGAGGATACGGGGTTGACGTTAGCGACGTCATCAGCACAGGTAGACCGAGACCGCTTCCCCCCGGGACGAACGGTGCACAGCTTGATTAGAGATTCAATATTACATCAGCATGAAGAGGATTGGGAGGGGGCAAGTAAGAGAGGGGACACCCCGAAATAGTGCTCAAGGGTTGGGGTTCTAGTCAGGCTGGGAGCCAGCTTGCGCTCGCGTTCGTGTGTTGCGCGCGGGTGGGTCGGTGGGCCTTGGTCGATCCGGACATCCCGCGAGGCGGATGGTCTAACGGAATAATTACCCACCTAAATGATAACATAAAAAATTGCCGGGAGGGGACACCAAACCAGCATCGCTTTTTCAGATAGGTAATGGTCAGTGAAAAAGAGGATAAGTCCAGACTCACATGGCCCGTCCTGTTACTTGTATTGAGGTGCTTATAACAATAGACTCTCACTATGAAGCCCACACACTTTCTCTGTATTCCACTGGTCACCCGATTGTCGCGGCCTGGGCTGTCTGCGGAGTTGAGCGCTCTTAAGTCATACATTACTAGTGCGGACAATATCAGCATCCCCGCGTCCGCTGTGCGTCCCCTCAGCACTATCCACCTCACTTTGGGAGTCATGAGCCTTCCCGAGCCCAAAGACGTTGAAGAGGCGACCCAGGTCCTTCAGAGCATCATTCCTCTACTTCCCCAAAGGCCCATCAAGATCTCGCTCCTTGGCCTAGGAACCTTTCCTGGCATAGATCCAGGACGTGCCGAAATCCTCTTTGCGCACCCCATGTGTCTCGACTACGACTTCGACGCGCTATGCCAAAGAATCCGGCATGTGTTCGAGGATGCTGGTATCTTCGACAAGAGAGGCTTCAGCTTATTCCTTCACGCCACCATCTTAAACGCCAGGAAGACCGCCGACGGGGGGCTTATTGACGCGACGGAGATCCTAAGGAACTATCGGGGACACGTATGGATGGAAAATGTCCCCCTCGAGGAAATCGGGATTTGCCGGATGGGTGCCAAGAAGAAGGGGGGTGATGATGAGGAATATCTGCTCGCAGCTTCCATCCCACTCACGACTTCGGCTGATAGATGAAATGTGAGGTGGAATTCTGATGTAAGGTAGAGCAGCCACTTGCCTGCTTTTACCCTATTAGTTCTAGATATCTAGTAGGTCCGTTCGCTAAGAGACCACTTCAGGATCGGGGACAGTGCCACTGATTACTAGTACAGCGGCTAGTCCTCAGGTCTGAGGGTTAGTTGAACCCGAGCATGAGGTGACTTGTAGTCGGATGGGACCTCTACAGGTCTCCAGCAATTAACTTCGTGAGCATCCTCGGACCTTTTCAGCTCATCTTCCTCCGCGAATACTCGTTAAGTTTAGGACTAGTCACCTTGGCCCCTAACCACTTCGATCTAATTACCACAGCCTTCAGCAGCAATGATGCCTGCGTTTATTGCATCCCACTGCACACTAACTTAGGCATTGTATCCCCAGCGAAAGCAGGCAGCATATGCGAGAATGCGAACTCGTTTCTTGGACCTCGCAATAATGCCGTGATCGTTTCCGCCAGCTTGGCTCCTCCGGAGCTAGATGGGTACTTCCTCATGAGTTGCAACAGTCCTCGGCCATCCGTTGCTAAGCGGACAGAACGATATGTCTGTCTTATAAACGGACAAGCTACAGCTACTACAGCTCTAGAAAGGCCGTAACATATTTAGGCTAGCTGTCTGTTCTTTAGCAACTCCATATAGAAGCTACCATAGAATCATCATGTAGCGATTTGGAGAAGTCTTGTGGTCTTGCTAGTAAAGGGCCTTTGATCTGCAGTTATTAAACTGATAATGAGCTCATGAGGGTAGTCATTGGTCTTTAGTGTTATCCTAATCTGAAAGTTGCTTGTTCGATTCGTCAACAATACCCGTTGAGTTGTTAGCTGGGTTCTCATTCAAATCCCACACAAGTGGACAACATGGCTGCATTTAAGAGATAATAGGGTTCATTTGTGGTGCTTTGAAAAGATGCAGCTTCTAATGCCTCGTCCCTACTTAAGGCGTGTCTGCTGAATCTCTGCTTAAGGTCGGACGAGTAGAAGGTCTTAGAAATAGCCAAAAGACAGTCGTTATTCAATAACAGGTTAGGCCTGGCTGGCTTCAACGACCCAGATCCTTTGCTATGCGCTATAGAAAGCAACCCTGATACGTTCTGTTCTGTGCTAGCTCTTGATGGCCGCCTGAAAATTTCTAAGGCCTCAAACCAGGAGTCGCATTGTGGGTCTGACGAGGTGCATTTGATTCTACAATAGGACCCCAACAGCAACAAAGCTGCAAGCTGCTACCCTGATGGTCTTGTGGTCAGCGTTGAGTGTGTATTATGGAGACAGGTCAGCAGCCACCTAGAGATTCTCTCCTGTTTTATTGCTTCACTTCTGGTGAAGAAGGCCATGAGTAACCTCATAACCACAGGAGATATCATGATATCTGTAATAGTATGCCCAGGCCTCTTATCACTGTTCGCCCAGGCTCTCAACCCTGCTGGTACGGTAGAGTGATAGCTAACAGTATATATGCGGAGAGTGCCAGAGCTTACAGACGTACTCAAGCAACTTCCACCTCTAACGTATATACAGTCTGCTTCCCAACCTACTAGTGAATATGCAGTATGTGATGATGAAATTGGGCGTGGGAAGGAAGTGATACATAGTGTCTAGCAAGACTTAAGCTGCAGAAACAACCAAGACGAGAGCCATACGTCAAGAGGAACATCTATTAATAAGCTGGTTGGGCACCCAGACCGTTAGTGATGATATACCTGTATTGTCATTCCCTGCTCTTTCGCTACCTACATAGCTGGGCGCTAAGCTGCATATGAGGACCGGCTTTGGCGCATTTTACGACCTCCTGATGCCCCATAATGATAGGTGCCAGCATGATGAACAGCAGACTGGGGAGCATAGGACTCTGAGGATATTGTTGCGGCGAACTAAATGGTGAGTCGGTGTGGGTGCAGGCCGCCTTGGGAATCTGGCCATTAGCCAGGAGAGGCAGGCACGAAAGGATTGAAAGCTATTCTTCTCAACACCGCTCCCAACGCAATCTATCTTACCTTACTTTATGACATGCTGAATAGTAACGGTCGTAGCTGCCGAAAATAGACAAACGATACAAGGCCGTCGCCAAAAAAAAAAAAAAAAAGCGCCTGAATACGTTCGGCCTTTTTCGGTGGGAGTGGCGATCGGCTCGGACCGGACTAGGGTTACGCAACAGCGCGTTTCCTCGCCGCTGTCAGATGCAAGCCGGGGACCCCGTCCCACGGGGCATATTACGGACTATGGCTTATAGCACGGCCGCCCCGCCATGCCCCCCCCCCTACTAAAATAGATCTCCCCCTTGTACCCAGGCACCCAGGCAGGCACCTCCTCCTCGCAGCGGGGTCTTGCTTGGTCTGGGCTGTTCCACTGGCAGGGGTGGCTTGTGGAAACGCAACCTAAAGCCGAAACTCAGAACCAACGACATGATTGGTCCCCCGGGCGGAAATCGTCAACGCGTCCCTGAGCATCCTTCTCGGCCTTCGAGGAAGATATTCTGCACGTAATGCGCGCTATTTCCCCCAACGCGACCCAACGCGACCTTCCTAGCGTAATGCGTCAGTCTAGCCACTGACGTCCAATTACTCGGCTTATCTATAGGTAGCTAGCGCGCCCTATACATGGGGTGAGGCAGGGTTCCAGACTAGCGGGCGGCTTTTAAGACATTGTTGCCCTGAAAGCAAGATGGTCCCCGGCACCTGGGATGCAAGTTGTTGCCCCGAAGGCGGGACGTCGCCTCTGTCAAGATCGGCATTCTCACTGCAACAGCAGAGGAAGCATACAGGAAACTGCTATGCCAGCCTAAGTCAAGGGCAGCATTGAGATATAGAAGTCCTTCTTTGCCTTGTCATTTGCGCCCATCATAGACCTATAGACCTTTTGCAGGCAGAGATATGCGTGGCCAATCGTAGTACGTGCTCCTATCGAGTCGTCTTTGTTGTCTGAAGAATCAGATCATACATTCTGCACCTGTCCACAGTATGAATCCTGTTAGCCAGGCCAAGGGTCAAAGAAGGTATGTGCGTTGACAGAGAGCTCAAAAGTCCAATAGGCTTCCTTAGGTATCAGAAGCTAGTAGTGAAACAACATCAGAAAGAAAAGGCTAAGAGCAGCCTCAACTACGCCCGGTAATCAGTGTCATAATAGAGACTTTCAACAGAGCTAAACCATAAACACTGAAGTCGTCCTATAGCTCTACTAGCAGGGTTAACTACCCGCTGCATCTCACCAGGGTTAGGAGTGAAGGCTGAAGCTTCAATATACACTGGGCTGCAGGAATGTGATCCGCCGCGTCACGTTTAGCTTTCTTATCCCATTGACTACTGCATAACATCGGAACCTCAGATACAATTCCTACTCTTCGCTCAGCATGCTATTCTTGAAAGGGTATGGAGTTAAGGGGAACGACGGAAACAGAATCGTATGAAACCATGATTATTTACGACCCCGCATCGAGATCTACTGACGTCATATGGCAGTCGATGGGATAGATTGGAGTTTCAGCTGTAAAAGTAACGCGCAACCGTAACATTCGGAAAACGCATAGGTGTAGTTACCCTTTGCATAGTAGCTAGCTAGGCAACTAACCACCTGGCACTGATCTGGCAGGACTGTTATTGTGAAGGGGCTAACCTTAACGCGTGTGGTTTTATTCACTTCCCCCTTTTTTTTTTCTTTCCTTTTTTCTTCTTTTTTTTTTTCTTATTTGTTCCCATTCCTCACTCTTCAAATCCTTCTGCCTCACCCTTTAGCCCACAAACAACTCATACATAGTAGTATTCTTAATGCTTATGCATATTGCAGACCATACAACCTACAAGCGCAAACATCGTCAAGTCCGGCAGTCGTGTAACGCTTGCAGTCTGCAGAAAATACGATGCGGTAAACAGCACCCGATATGCCACCGGTGCGCGAAGAAGGGGCTGTGCTGCCAGTACAGCATGTCTATGCGTACAGGTGAGCGTCAACGACTAGCCGAATTGTACGACATGCCGGGGAGTAGCACAGGAATGTTGTCATCATTCGCAGCTCCTCAGCTAGTGTCACTATCGCTCAGCACGACGGAGGATCCCTCCACCGAAAGCCCGACGAATCGCTCTCAAGCCTCGTTTGACGACGTCAGGAACTGGAGCTGGCTGATTGACACAGCCTCTATGTATTTACTGGAGCCTAGCCTGGAGCTTGCAACAAGCGAAGATCCTTCGACTAATAGCATAGTGTTAAGTTCGCCTAGCAATCAGAACACGCCGTCCTCTCCGCAGTATTATCCGAGACAGCCTGATGGGAACTCCGATATCCCATGTGCGGGAGATACTCGACCCACCGAAGATGTAGGCAACAGTATCCAGGACGCCAGCCCACGGCCGCAAGTGAAGGGCGACGCCCTTAATCCCGATAGAACACGCCGTGTATATAACTGCGCCACTGAGGCTCTGAGCCTCTTTGGAAACCTCCACACGTCAGCGAGCGGCTGTCTAACGGTTGTACAACGCCCACCTCATCTCGTCGCTATCAAGGGAGACTGCAAATCCAAGCAGAAAGATATAGGCGATATACCGTCTGAAAACAGAGAGGCACTCGCCAGACTCAACAGCCTACTAGGCTGTCCATGCTCTAGAAGGCAAGACATCCTTCTTTTGACGTACCTGGTGATTGCTAAAATCGCGGACTCGTACCGCCTGATCCTCGGAATCAGCGACAGCGCCGAGCCTGCAGCAAAGCATTCCACTATGGAACAGTCACCTAAGATAACTTCGACGACTGTCTCGTGTATCGGCAGCTACCCCCTGGATGATAACAGCCAGAAGATCCTCAGCGCGCACCTGGTCCTAAGGCATGTTAGAGATCAAGTTCAGCCTCTACTGAAAAGGATACGTCCCGGCCACGGCCATGTTCCCGACTCACTACCACCTACATACTTTCAGTGTTACCCATCGCCTTTGAAGCCTCTCTAGTCGACGTTACCAGTTCATCACCACTCTCACGTTACGGGCATAATCAACCAAGTGTATGCCGACGCTAGTAGTATTAAAACTGGGTGCTGACACTGTTGCCCTATATCTAAGTAGGGTCATGACGCCTCCAGGTCCTGCGCCCTCGTCGCGGATGAAAAGGCCCGTCGTTCACGGTTGTTAGCAGTATTCTCCTCAACAGGAGGCAGGGAATCGGAGCGAAGCTTGTAACCACCCGATATTATGTCACGAGAGCCCGCCTTTTCGCTCAAGCTTGCCCTTTTACGCAGCGTTAGCCACTTCAGTTTCGTTCATTAGCTACCTTAATGTTTAGTAATATGGAGCTCGTTCGTTCTTAATACTATAGCGATTGGGGTGGTGTGGTGGTAGGGTGGACAAGCCAGAAGGTCATGTGCCCTCATACGCCAGTCACTTATTAGTAGAATTCATCGGCAATACGAAGTATAGTAGAAATAAACCTACCGTGCCGTTATATATAACGCTGGTCCATTGTAATAGGGTAGCTGGACGAGTCTAGGAGCTAATATCTTCTTTTCCTTCTCAATCTTCTTTTTCCTGAAGTGGCTTTCTGTCCTTTCACTTACTTTCTTTTATTCCTATCTTCTGCCCCCCCCCCCCCCCCCCCCCCCCGATATCTTCCTCCTACTGTAATCATCCTTCTTTGGAGTTCTTTCTTGTAGCTGCTGATATAGTCCTTACGACACCGTCCGGTTAGGCAGGTACATGATACTCGATTTGCAGTTTTCCTGCGTTCTTCACAGACCGAGCCTGATTCTAAATGCTTGCTTAACGGATTAAACCCCCCAACCCCTATCATCATTGTGAAGGAGCCTGGGCGAAGCAGCTCATAACTCTAAAGACCACTAGTAGTGATTTCTAAAAACCAGATACTCTAAACCTGGCTCTGTAGATATGGTCCGGCCTCCCTGGTTAGGACGTCAGTTACATATAACCATGAGATGTGCCTAGCCTAGACGTCCATGTCGCATTTCAAGATAGCGTCAAGCCCCGCAGCCGCCCCTTGCCCATAGCTTAACAGCCATGGAGTATGTTATATGGTCCTCTCGTCCCTTGAAGAGCCTCAGAGCCTTAGATCCTCACTTGTGAAAATTCAACTAACGACGTAGAGATAGCTAACCTGAGCCGGGCGCGGGTTAGGCAGTTAGGGTCATGGTTAGGCAGTTAGGGTCATGGTTAGGCAGTTAGGGTCATGGTTAGGCAGTTAGGGTCATTATGGTTAGGTCGTTCGGGTTATGGTATATGTCCCTATCGTCTTAAAGATTGTGGCTACTAACTAAGCGGTGTAGGGTCAAGTATACAACCCTATGATCACTATTTACACATGTTGCTGATTTCTCTCAGCTTAAGTCTAGGTAATCCTCAGCCCAGACGAGGAATCCCACATTGGGTTGATGCTTATATAAGCATGCATTGCATATAATAATCGCTCGAGTCCCATCTCGCTCATGCCCACCCTCACAGCACGCTGCAGTACCTAGATATGCACTCTTTTTTTTTTTTTTTTTCACACTTTGGTTTGGGTGAGGTACCTGTTAACATAAGGTACAACTAGTTAGTGTAGGAAATCATAAGGCCTGTATCCAAGGTAGCTGCTGCCTGTAGGTACGCATTCTGTGTGCACGTTCTAATGAGGGCGCGCAACAGGGGCGAGTGAGACCAGCCTGCCGGCTGTTAGCCTGGGCAGCCTAGACGAGCTCGCCCGATCGTCAATAGAACACCAGGCTTCACACCAAGCAGACCAGTCCATATAACGGGGGAAGCCGAATAATCATTCAGGATCTCCCGCCAGTAAGATTCAAGGAGTCTGTCGAACAAGCACGCAGGTCTTTTATAACCTAATCTAAAAGCAGGTATCATGCCTTTTCTGTACTCAGCCGGCCGGATACTGTAGTGGACGAACACCCTCCATGCCAGTCGCAGCTGAAACAATGCAGGAGAGTTACCAGGTGCTGCATGGCTCAGTGGTATAATGTATCTAGCCTCACAGAGAGCTAGCTCCCTCCGCCACCTAGTGGGTATACAAGAGCACCTGCAACAGCACATGTGTGTTTTCCAGCTCGTAGGCGACGAATTAATCCATAAAGGGTGATATCTATAAAGCAAAGTAGTTAACCTCGGCCCCCCTCCTTGTTCGCCGCGGCTGCTGCGACCCTATCTCCAAGCCGCCCATATGCTAAGTGTGTAAGCCATAGATAAAAAGTATACAAGCCGGGAGCACGACAGCTCGCCTTCTGGAATCAAAAGCAGCCGCCCCACACAACCAACGCCATTCCCGCCGTCCCCTCCCGGAACCTCGTACTCCTCTCCTCGGCGGCCTCGGGCGGCTCCTTGTACCATGGTGCTAGGTCCTGCACCTTTATTGACCCCTCTAAGCTTCGGAACAGGCCGAGAACCCTCCGCCTCCTCCTGCGGTCCCTCAGAAACGCTTCTGTCACTGATCTATCGCTTTCCACGAGGAAACCCCCCGCAGCCCTTTCAACCATGTTTGTGCAGATGTCTTCGCCGTCTTAGGGGCATTCGCGACCCAACCTTTGCAACTGCCTTTTGTTGTGCGAGACATCATCGTCACAGGCGATTCACGAACACCACCATCATATTCATGCCTGGCCTGTTTGTCTCTTGCCTGCGCTGGCGCGCAGCTTCCCTGCCAGCTTGCGTTGACTCCACTACTGTTAGATGCCTTACTCACATTCAAACGAGGGCTTAGCCGAGGACTTGCCCCAATCACCACACCGCTCCTGCCACCACAAGCCTCCCCATGCTAGTTACAGCATTGTCACAAGCTATCTATTACTGCTATATTCACCCCAGCCCACGGGTTGTTCCTGCCTCCTGGTACGTAAGGCACCTTCCGCACGCGGGCTAGCCTCTGTCGAGACCTCTCAGCTGTGTCATTAGGTAAAGGCCTCACTCCTAACCAGACTCGGGCCAGAGAGTTGGGTTCCCCCAAACACCACCACCAGGTACCTTACTACTACAAACAACAACCCCACCCACAATCACATCCACAATCACGACCAGAAGCCGCCGCCGCCGCCACAGCAGGCCTTGGCCAACAGCTTCCGCCTTACCTTCCTTCCCTCACGCTCAAGACACCAGGCCAGGGGCGCAGTACAAGAGACGAATATCTCCACCCTCGGCCCTATCCCACAAGCTCAGGTTTCCTTCCTAGACCACCACTAGCAACAACCTTAAGCTTCTTCTCACACATCACCTATTAACACCGAAGCCTCAGCTAGCCGCACTTCACATCAACCCTCCCTAAGGTAGAGAGCACGCTACCCCATGAATACCCATCGCTCTTTCCGAACAACCTTACCTACACAATGCTAACAGGTGCTCAGGGGACCCCGCAGAGAGAAGAAAGAGAAACGAAAGGGAAAGGGAAAAAAGGAAAGGAAAAGAAAAAAAAGAAAAAAAGAAAGAAGAAAAAAACACCGCAACGATGACTTCCCCGCAGCGCACGGTCAATGATACCTTGGCTTTCATCTCCAGGAACCTCGCCTCCCGCCATGCTGTCGAGTCGATGACCAAGGACACCCTCGAGAGCAGGCCGACGGACGCCGAACTCCGCTGCCTGTGCCAGGACACCATCCTCACGATGAAGGAGTTCACATCGGGCCACCAAGTTGTCTCCTGCGCCGTGCCAGGGGCTGTTCGGGCTCTAGCATTGGCCTTCGACAAGCTTCAGCAAGCAGACACGACCAGGCTTTCGGTTATCATGAATGGGGGTATCAAGATCGGTCGGGAGTGGGATGAGGACGCATTCCAAGAGAATGGTCGGATGAGATTCTTCAAGGATGGCATACGTGAGGAGGTCCCCGGAACGCTTCTCTGGGAGGTTGAGGTCATCTCTGTCCCCGACGGCTCCGGCGGCTGCCGCAAGGAGCTGAAGCACGACACCACCCACGTCTGGGTCCCCTTTAAGCCTGGCGCCGGCGAGGAGGGGTCTCACCTGGGCGACTTCTATGCCGCGTTGTTCCAGGAGTACCTGAGCGTCGCCAACAAGGTGCCTGGCAAGACCTCGGCCAAGTACTTCGAACGCACCCCGTCCACCAACGAGCTAACCGTCTGGGACACCACTGGCAACCACGTCAGCAGCTTCGCCATGGCGATGATGCACCTCCTGGCCGTCCGCATTGCCAGGGTCAACCCTTCCGACGACGAGAAGACCAGCCTCCGGAAGATGCTGCAGGACGAGATCGTGGCGCGCTACTGGATTGCGGAGTGCAGGGCTGAGGACAAAAGCGACCAGAAGTCCACGTTCTTCTCGATGGGACTGCTGTTCTGGGCCATCACCCACCCTACGGAGCTGGAGGCCAAGATCAAGGGATAACTAGTCGGGAATGACGCCAGGGAGTCTAGCTGCGAGGATGAGCAGGGACGTGTCGGGTGGCTTTGGGACGCATGAGGATCAAAAATCATCAGGCTGCCCGCTTCTGGTAGAGGGAGGGAGTTGAGTTGGTAACCTACTTAGGTATTATATGTCGTAAGGGGGGATGGATGGAGGTGGAGGAGCCGTAGGCATGGAACCCAAGGTACCTACCTAGCCAGCCTACCTATTGATGAACATGGAGGGCCAGTAAGCCGGTATCCAATTCTAGAAGAACACAGTCGGTCAGTACTTGGTCACCTTTCCACCGCTTGCGCTAGGTGATGACGGCTTTGGTTTCGGGGCAATGTTCAACCCCAGCCAACCCATGATATCCACTTCCCCTTCTCCCGCCGGTCAATCGGAGACCGCGCTTAATTGCACGCGCCAGTCTGATGTGCACGGTGGCTTATCAGAGGACTTATAGAACGGCCAGAGACCGCACCTGGTGACCCCACCTATCATATCATGCCCATCACACCAAAAACACTGCTTCCGCCGCTGCTATCTGTTCCTTTTTGGTTCCTACGATTTTACCTTACCTATGACAATGAAAGGGATAAGCAGCTTGAAGGCTAGTGTGATTGGAAAAGTGTCTTAGTGGGGTTTCGCATGCCATCAGTACACATGACCAAGACCTTCCATCCAAAGGCAAACCACACTGGTTTTGCTCCTCTCTCAACAAGTAAGGTACCTAGGCAAGCATACCTATACATACCCACGTCAGCATCTTCCCCAAACGTCCTTACTCACCATCACATCTCTATGCGTACGTCCATTCCATTCCATAATATTTTGTCTAATATTCAAAACTACCGCTTTTAGGGAACCCTACTCCAAAACACTGCTTACCGTCTCTTCAGCACCCAGGCGTCAGTTTCCACTTCCTATGGAGCACGGCTGCTGATACCTCCGTTTTATTCGGGACGTAAGCCTCCGACCACAGCAAGAACAAGCGCAGATGATGTGCCGCACTATCACCTCCTCCATCTCCAAATTCAATACAGTATTTGTCGTGCTCAATCCTGCCGCCCCGCCCTGGTACCCCACTACCTTAGTTAACGAGAGGACGGTTTGAGGCGGGCCCTGAGCACGCACTCCAGTACATCTGCTGTATGGTTTGGATAGGGAACTCAGTACGACGGTCTATACTTCGATGGCCTGCCCCTCCCGAGGACCGTGACCGCAGCATATGCCCCTTAGGCCCGTTAGGGTCGTGTACACACCACAGATTCCTCACGGGCTCTGGCGATACGGTCGAATGGAGGCCTCGGACGAAGAACCTCAGGTTCCCATTCCATCCCACGTTGACGTGGAACCTGCCGCGCAAGTCGGCTTCACCCAAGTTGTCCCAGGCTTTTTCCGAGTAGAGGAATGAAGTACGCCGAGACATGCCCTTCGCCCCGCTGGACCTGCTCGGCTGGTGGGGCCAGGGTATTGAAGCGACCGCGGCCGAGGGGAGAGGGCTGTGCAAACGCTTCGCGACGTCGAGGCCGGCCGACTGATCGTCATCCTTGACGGAGACGTCAGCGTCCGCGTCAAGAAGCTGTTGGATGATGCTCTTGTCCCCACGTCCAAACAGTGTGCCATCGCCACCCAATCGGGCGCAAAGATGGGCGGTTGTTGACCCGTCTGGTCACTTGGCAGTCACATCGATGTCATCCGATTTGATGAGGGCTTTCACGAGCTGGGGTAATGCATCGAAGTCGTCCTGGGGGGCGTCGTATCAAGCCTGTGTGGTTGTGCGACCTGACTAGAGGTCCACGGCGGCCCCCAGTGCCACGAGAAGGAGTGTTTTGGTTGGGCGTCAGGGCACAGGGGCTTGGACGTTGACACCGGGTTGCTGCGCGAGCTAGTTCGCGTATCGAAACCGCCTGGTACGACAAGCCCTGGGTAGAGTCTGCTGCCCCCACGACGTTTGGTCTGTAATGGATGTAATTCTCTGCTGAAGGATGCGTTTAGCGATTTTGATGGTCCTGGACCTGGGTATGTAAACACATCAGAGATCGTGAAGCACTGAGACTGAACGCTCGTTTCCAGGATGTGAGGCTCTCCAAGCACCAAGCACCAATGATACAAGTCGTACTCATTGGGGCTGAGGTGAGTCGCCATCGGAAACAATGCCTGAAGCTCCGGCTTTGATGAGTCTTTCGGCAATCTTGGACTGTCCATAACAGATGGTAGTATGAATTGGTGTCTTGGCCGCGTTCGGGGCGTCAAAGTCGGGATTGAAGTGGGGTGGGTGGCCAGGGTCGTCCAGGTCATCGCAAGACCAGCATGGCCTGGGGCTCCTGCGGGCTACGTCCGCGCCCTCTTCCAGCAGTCTCTTGACGAACCGCTTGTTCCCAACAACGATTGCTACTTGAAGGGCAGTGTAGTCATCAATCCAGGGTATGATATTCTGCAATCCCGCAAGCATCACGGGCGGGGGCGGGTCGCCCTCTTCCCGGAGTTGACCCCAGTAAGGTGGCAAGGTGACATCTAACTTATTGGGGTGGTTCCTCTTAGTATAATCTACTGCGAGTTCGAGAAGTGTAGTGTCCCCAGTGATGATGGCTGCGAAAAGTGCCCGTCCATCGATTTCGCCCTCAATTTCACCCTCGATGAGGGTGCGAATTGGTGTGTCTGTGTGGTAGACGGGGGATAGATTGATGCGGTCTTCAATGGTGTTAAGCCCCAGAGCAATCAATCTCAGGATCTCATGGGGGAGGGGAATGACGTAGTACATGGTTAGGACAGAACAGCTAAGGATCGGTATACGATATTGTATTGTATTGTCAGTATATAGAAGTGTGGAAGTCGACGTTTAGGCTTGCTAGCTTAGTGTACGGATACCATAGAGACTCATTTGGCCTGTTTCCATATTCATACACACACATATATATGTTGATATGCGTGTGTGTGTGTGTGTGTGTTTGTGTTCGTATAATGGCAATGGAGGTTTGATCATCAAGCACTTTCCTGAACAGTGTTCTGCTTTAAACACATTAGGTAGTGGTAGAATAAGTAATCAAACAAAAAACACAAGTGCAAGGTAAGTAGACAATATCATTAATCACTACAAAGATCCTAATAAAGAGAAGTGTGTATATTTCCGTGTGTCATTATACCCAATGAGATTCATTGCAGGAACAAAACCACAATCACAATATCAATGTCATTGAACCAGCAGTTAAGGATATCGACTATTCCTCTCGATTGAGCCACCTTGGCTTTTTTGGACGCTCGTTGCTGGGAAAGAAGTCGCGTCGAGGACAAGAATGGGTTTCTCTCTCGACGTCTTCGTCCCGTGTCCGATCCGGAAGTAATCATCCCTGAAATCTCAATGTACCTGGTCAAGAAGTATACTACTCTAGAGTTCCGATCCTGCTTTATATCTAAGAAGTATTCTCTGTGCTCGGGCGCATATGTTGCTCGCTACCCACGGATGTTCACAAGAAGAGGCCTATTGACGTCAACAAGATGGCCATAACGATTCGCGCCCTTGCAGGGGATCGGGAGATACCTTCACTTCGGGGCACTTCGTCGACCGGGAGAGCCCGATGGGATGTCGGCCGGGGGCCCCGAGAGTTGGGTGAATCAGCACCCACGAGGCCCAGGCCGGCAAAGCATCACACGCAGGCCAGCGGCGGAGCCCACTAGCAGTAGCATTATCCACATCTCACCTCCAGCCTCAGCTCATGCTACAGTCTATACCACATACCATCATAAGCCGTTCACCTACACCACCGCTATATCCATCTTATCCCATCATTCCTGCCCGCTGAGGCGTACCTTCCCTAGCAGCCTGGTGCCCCGTCCGGACTCCTGCAGGTGCTCTGGGATAGGGGACAAAAAAGAAAATAACAAAAAAAAAGAAACATAAGAAGAAAACAAAAAACATAAGAAAAATAAAATAAAACAAAAAGGTGATGAAACGACCTAATCAGTAAGAGGGTTTAATTATGACGATAAGCATAAGTGTGCGTACGCTGAGCGTGTAAAGAAAGATAGTATAGCTTAACGGCCCTTAGTTAGGCTGTTATATCGATGGGATATATTTCTACACCTGTCGTGTGCGTATCTAACACCCGTGTGTGCGTAACATCTGGGCGAACTCTATAAGTGGTTTCAGATGTACCGAAGACAATCCTCCCAGGTCGCCTTCCGGGGTACATACAGCATTTGCATCAATACCATCGCGGGCCTCGGCCGGTATTGAAGGGAGTTAAGGCTATTCCCGCCGTCCCCGCGCCCTTATTCGTGACCTGATTAACCCATAGCCATCACAGCCATCACAGCCATCACCAGGCGAGACTCCAAGTGAGCAGCAGATAGACTACTAGCTCACCATGGAGGCAACCACCCCTCGAGCCCTTCCTGCCTCCCGACACTCGCGTCTCTATAGCTATCATACGTAGAATCTACCCAGACAGACATGCTTAATACGTAGGAGTAGCTAGTCAGGTTAGGGGGGCGGGTGACGCTCTCTAGAGCTGCGCAGGGCTGTTGACGCCGAGAAGCTGCCTAGCCTTTTTAACCAGGGGCGACTTTAAGCGAACGAGATGCTTAATCACCAGCTGCCGCAGAGCGTACGACAGGTCTGTTTGAACGTTGAGCAGGGCCCTCGGGGTCTTGTCGATGATCCAGCTGATGTCTTTCATGTCCTTATCGTCCTTCTTTCGATGTTCCGCTGCTAAGGCATTGACCTTCGACATGAAGATCTTGCCGAGCCGCATGACGTGAATGTTGATCGGCCTCTTTCTCTCGTTTTCCACTTTGAAGTCCTTCGAATTGACCTGCAAGCTTTCGGGTGTCGTCAAGGTGCCTAGGCCGGCCATTAGTGTCCGCAGACCAGCCGGAGGCTTCGGAGTGAGGGGCTTAACTCACCAGCGATCACTAAATCAATCTCGATGTATCTGGGCTTCCCTGCACTTCCTTGGTCGCGATAAACCCGCAGGTGAGACTCGCTCGGCCATCCAGGCCCAGGAACTATGTACTTTTTGTCTTTGCTTAGTGCAGCCCGTAGCTTAGGCATAGTGGTCTGTACAACCATGTCGATGTCGGTAGTGTGTCGATCTGATTGTCCGTGGATTTTCAGAGCGAGACCACCAGCAACAGCCCAGGGAATCTTATTCCGGTCAAGGAGCTTGCCGAGCGGGTCAAGGGTGTCTAGAAGACTAAAAAAGCTAACATCAACCTCAGACTCCTTCTGAAGTGTTGCTGCCTCCTGTCGATCAAACCAGCCTTTGGTGATATCGCGGCCGACAACAGTAATGTCCCTCGGGAATTGGGTGCATGCTCCACCCCTACTCTTCCTAGTGAGGGCTTCTACCTCACAGAGGGTGAAGTCGGTGATGCTTCCCTTTGTCGACACAGAGGAGCCGAAGCCCCGGCCATGATATGTCGCGAGCGGCGCAGCCTCTAATGAGACAGCTAGGAGCCAGAACAAGGTTATTAGGGACCAGTAGATGGTGCAAGAGAGCTGTAGAGGCGGTGCCATTGGTAAACCCGACCAAATCTGTTACAAGATAAATGTTGCGAAGCTGGAAAGTCCTCGACCTTGAAGATTGCGAAACAGCCAACGAGGCTATATAGTTCATAAATAATAGTGCCAAGCACAGGAAGGATTGGCTTTATAAATTTGGGGCAGGACGTCGTATGCTTAACGTAAGCACGCTTCTTTGCAGGGCATCGCACCCGATTATTCATCCCTTCCCTATTTAGGTGTCGCGAACATTAACCAGATTATCCGCCCTGGGCCCCTGCGCATGGCCGTGGGTCAAAGCAGAAGGCTAGAGCCGGTTTCGCCGAATCTGATAGATACTACCCGACGGCAGTGTACGAACCGCAGACTGAGTGTGTGTACTTGCGTATGTTTCCTTTCTTTTTTTTTTTTTTTTTTTTTAATCGTTTTCCTCCCCCCCTCCCTTTCACCCCCACTCCGGTGCCCATCGTATAACCCTACGGATACCGCGATGCCACTAGGTGCTGCCTTCGCTAAACACTTAACGGGGCCCTTCCTACTGGTGCTCGGGGCTGCCGAAGCTGCCCGTGGCCCCAGTTAAGTACCCTTCGGCAATGGTGGCTATGAAAGGAGCGCACGTTTGAGGCAGCGTTAGCTCTACCCCTGTCAAGGGGTAATTAGAGTGCTTGGAGTTCGTAGTTCATTTTTTGACCGATATGTTCTACCCCGTCCCAAATTATATTCCGGTCAGCTCCTGGGCCCGGATAGCGGGCTCGGCCGACAGCTACCGCGCGCCCGGACAGGATAGCGAGAACGAGACCATCCAATCGAAAATGACATTCATCCGACCGAAGCATCCCTGAATTTGCATATGATCACTATAAGGCTACTGATTAGTCCAGGGTTGCGTTGCCCATTTACCCCTAGTAAAGCTCTTGACATCATCTGAAGATGAGCAGGAAGAGGTGAATACCAGGCTAGATGGGACCGAATCTACATTCTAGAAGCAAGTGCTCGCTCGACGGATATACTGCAATTGACCGCCCCTAAACATCACAGACTACTGACACTACAGTCCTCCATCAGCCCTTCCACAAAGCAGAACAAGTAACACTTAAACATCCTACGACATACTAGGAACCTGTGTTAAACGCTCAGACACCTAGTAGTTAGACGACCTGAAAAGAAACAGCTGGGGCATTGAAACCTTTCAACAGAGCCTAGTGAAAAGGAAACAATGGCCAGAAGACATGACGGTGTGAACAGACATCTAGTCATTTGAGTCTTGAATGTTCAGGGGCAGAGATGGTATTTGATTAGAGTTTTGGAGCATAGGAGATCCACAACGCGTTCGGTTTGCCTTATGCCCTAGGAGAAACTGGTCTAGACCGCTGAAACAGGTCTGGTCATTATGGCGTTGAAACCTGACATGATCTTAACTTTTTCCATCTCACTCACGTTTGTCCTGTTGAACATGTGGCTAGCCTTGGAAATTGCTAGGTTGATAGGTTAATAGGTGCTATTGCGATCGTGGGCCATATCCCATTCCTTTCTACAGCTTAGAAGCCATGAAACGGTAGTACGCAAGGCAGTTCCATTCCTTGTCGTATTTACCCTTGGAGAGCGTGATCCATTCTTCGCCTACAGAGGTGGTCAGTCAGTATAGCTCATCCACAGCAAGACGGCAACATACCTTTTCTAATGACTCTATTAATGTTGGCTTTAGAAGAGGTTGTAGTACCTCCATAATCAATACTGGATAGCATGGGTTTAGTCCCTTTCTAACAACGCGCATTAGTGATTCATAACCAATAGACGACGTACCGGTGCATACGCTTGACTTCATCCCAGTTATGGCGTGTCTGAGTCCAGGTGTTGGGGTTATCTGCCAGGCGCCTTACGTGCAAGTAGCTTGCTGTAAACTTGTTCTGGCGAAAGGCGGTCTTGCCAACGATGAGACCCACGTGAAGACAGCCCATCTGATCGATGGTATACTGCTGACTAGGTGTCATACCCTTTTGTCCAGGATATGCTTTATTACAGGACATGAAGTAGTAGTGTGTGTTGTGGCGGAGAGTGCCCACAACCCTCTCAGCTGCTGCCTAAGCTGCGCTCGAATCGCGGGACAGGATTCCGTCCTTGTCGTAGATAACGCTGCCTGTTGTTGCCATATCGCCTGGTGAACGGACTGTTATAGCATTGTTGGGGTTTGGTACAGCAAGGCCAGCTACGGCCATGCAGGACGAGAGGAAATACAGAAGCCTCATCCTGTTCAAGGGGATGCAAGTTGAAAGACAATAGCAAGTAGATGCGGAAGGAAACGGTGTAGGTAGCCGCGAATCCTCGGGTTTTATAAGCTTGTCTTGCCCAGTTATCGATTCATAATAATGATCCGAGGAACTCTCAGTGCGCAGCAATCGTTGGTTCAAATAGTACTCAGCCGTCGGCGACTCTGCCACGGACACATGAGAAGCCGAAGGTGGATCCCTCATCGGCGTAGCCAATGAACTGGCAGACTCCTGGTATAGCCATGTTACTCAACCTGCTAACGGAGCTAATAAGCGCAGTACTGCGACAGGCTAACGATACAGAAGCCTGGTAGCGACAAGGGGCCGAATTTGGAGGCCGCAGCATTTTCACTGCATCTATGACTACGGAAGGACTGAAGAGGCTAACCCGACCGGCCGCACATACGCAGTAAGGATAACAGTGAGCCGACCCACTTAGGTATTAGGCAGCTGTGGCAGGACATTTCATCAGAATAGATTGATCCTAACATGGCTTGACATGATCTGCCTACTTGGTCTCGGCCGTAGCGTAACTTTCCGCTTCACCTCATTCCTTTCTTTTAATATATGCCGCCTACTTTAACCCCTACCACCCTTCCTCATTCTCTCCACTTAAGTGGCATGTAATAACCTAACGTCAGCACAGACCGTTCCCCTCGACAACACATATCCTTTCACCGTTTCTACACGTCCTCTGACGTTAGATGCTCTCTCCGGTGTACACTTGGTACCTTCGACCTCGAAGTTCTAATATTTCCAGCCACTGTTGGACCTTAATCGGCTATAGCGCAAACGGTACCTCCTGTAAGGCCTGGGAGAGACTAAAGAAGAAAAGAAAGAGAACAATTAAAAAAAAAAAAACGGAAAACAAAAAAACAAAAAAGAACGCCTACCCAGTTGACAAAGTGACGGTAGTGGTGCCCGGAAGACTCAATCCATCTCTAGCCGTCCCAACGATGTGTTACAATCAGCTAATTCCACACGGTACTATTAAAGGGAAGATTGTTGCTGCCCATTTCAAGTAAAGCGCAGGCCGTCAAGCAATACCGCCGCATACTGTATTCAACTTTATAACGAGCTTGACTTCTGGAGTTATTGACCTGACTATAGATAGAGCTAGTAGCGCTATTAAGAGTAGCACCGTCGTTCTCAAGAAGCTCCGTGTCTTCCAAGAAAAAGAACATCAGGATCGGTCATATTGATCTCTAAGACAGGCACAAATACAGCTCGCAGTCTTTCGAGTATGAGACAACCTACGACGCCACGCGTAGATTTCGCGCATAGAACGAGATCCTGCTTACCGGTAGCCAACAATTCCACTTATGACCCAGTACTAAACCTGACTGCAAGGACAGCGAAGGATAGCGATCGCCCGCCCCACGCTGACGCTGGGCAGCTTATAACGGGTCATTTAACTTTTAGGATCGTGTGAATAACAGGCACTCACTTAGAACAGAAGGACTAAACTGAAGGCCACCATAACGCTGCAGGTTCTTAGTCCTCGCCTCCTATACCTAAGTGATAACCTAGTAACAGGATTATTGGTCAGAGGGACTGTTCATGACTGACATAGTATGACCTAAGCCTGGCTTATAGGCAGACACCCGTAGCTCTTTGGCCAATCACTCTCTAACGGTTCCTTGGGCTATTTTAAGCTTGTCTTCACCACGCACACCGTTGGTTACAGAGTCTGAGACTAATAACGCAACCTTTGAGAAGACATCACCTGGTTAGGCTCAGTATAGTGACGACGTAGAACCATGGTACAATATTTGGTCCACAGCGGTGACTCTGGACTCCCGTTAGTGGAATCTACGCTTAGATAGCGGGCCGTGACGGTCGGGTTCACTAGAACAGGGTGTTTCCAGAAGTGGGCGTCAGACGTTGCGATGGCCCCTTAGAAGTGTGTATGTGACTCTCCTAACCGCAACATCCGCAATTTCGTTCGGGCAGACGACTGACCACAAGCCCTAGCAGACTGTGCAACTAAATAGGTCGTCAATATACTACCTTACTCATATCCTAACCACAATTAATAGAAGATAACGCGATACCGCCGATAGCGTAGATATCTCTATCTGAGAGCTTGGGAGCGAGGCCGGCCTCGCGAATGTGATGGACACGTCGAGATACAACAATAGCAGTCAGGACAGGGGGCCCCGCTACTATCAGACTACCTTAGACACGGAGAATCAGCGGGCCGCGCTTGGAGCCTAGTTCGTTGAAGTGTTCATATTCATGATTCCGCTGACCTCTCGCTAGCTCAAAGCTGTCCCTGCTATAACGCTTTCATAGCTGCGTAATATTAACGCAGCTATTACCAGCAGGCGAGGCTGCCTAAGTCAGTGCCACTCATTACTTAAATCTTCAGGAACGATGCCTCTGCTACCACCTATGTCCGGACAGCCCCCGCTTTTGCTCTTCTATCTCTTTAGAGGCCCGCTTAAACGATCTCCTGTTCTACCGTATCATCTTGTTCAACTCGAAATCCAGTTAAGCAGGGCGTCTGATTCGTCACAAGCCCTGATACTATATACTTTACCTCTACTAGCCTAACTGAAGCCCTGTTGAAGTAGATTAAGCGACTAATAGGATAAGGGCGCAGGGGGGCTACAGGGGGGGGGGGGGGGGGTGGTGCGGATTTCGAGTTGAATAAGATAATACGGTACAGATAATTACAGGGCCTCAACGACGATTATATCTACGTCTATCGTGAAAAGACCAGATTCCCCAGGAGATCGAACAGCTTTAATCGCAAACCCACCCAACGGCTCTAAGGAGTATCTCAAGGGCTGTCATTACCTGTCCTCCAGCGGCTGCGAAATCCAAGTGCTGCGGACGAGGAACAAAGGGATACCTGGATTGAAAAAGGCCAACCGAAGTCAACAGAATACGTAGATTATAACCCTAAGCTGACCGTAACAATGAGGTTATAGCCCTCACGGAATGCTGCTGCTGCTTCTGTAGTTAAAGGCATGGGTGGCTACCTATAGCTGTTGAACATGGCGTATGGCATCAACGGTCCTTAGTGCAACAACAATTGTACTCTTTAAAGCCCACCTGTAAGGGTCTAGGACAAGGTCGGTGCCATTGGTCTAGCCTACTACTACGAGCATTCCAAGCTGGGGGAAAGAAGAACCATTCTAGGAAAGAGTGGTGCCCTTCTCATCTTTAAATATATGTGAGTCTTCTTCCAGAAGCTTCCATTGAGTAAGGGCCGACAAGGTTCTCATAACCTTCCACGATATTCTATAACCTTCCAAAGTATTCCATAGCTGAGGTGTTACGGTCAGCTATCCGACAGTAGGGTCTGCTAACAGAAGCTGGGGATTGATACGTAGTAACAGTACACTGAGGTCGTGGTCTGGGTCGTAGGTCGTAGGCTTGTAGTAGATCAGGTCTTCAGAGGCTAAGGTGATCAGTCTTAGACTCAACGAGTATTCGCAGTGAAGGTAAGCTGAGAGTATCCTGAGGATGAATACTAAGTTGATTGCTGAAGAGCTATGGAAGTCTGGGAATGAGCCAGGCTCAGGGTAATACTATATACAAGTCTAACTCTGAACATGTTCCTTTGTACCTTGGGTCGATCCGGATCATTCTGATCCAGAATGATCATTCGGCCCCCAAGTCGTGTTGGATCATATTGATCCAATATGATCGTCATCTTATCGTCACGTGACTTTTACCATAGTTCTTCCGTTTCCGAGCGAGTCCCTGTTGTTCCCGTGATCCTGCAACACAAATGTCCTGTCCTAGCCGCTCGATGCCCAAGTGGGTCGGTTAACTGTTATCTTGCATAACGGGTCGTAACAAAGTCTAACCAACATCCCAAAACCTCGTTACCCACAGTTAGTACAGGGTATGTATGGCTCAGCATAGCTAGCTGTATAGGGGATAGACTATTGGGCTGAAATGCAGTCGTACTATTCAAGTTGTAGATGCGGCAAGAGAGTCCTGTTTTCTTCTCTGCAGCTTTTTCTTCTTCTCTTTCTCTCTATTTTTCTTTTCCTTTTCTTTTTTACTTTTCTTCCTTTTCTTTCTCTCGCTCTCTGTGCTTCTTTTTACTGGGTAATCAGACAAAGTAGTAAAACCAAGCCGACGTACGTTTTTCTGTACATTTCACGAATCCGATAGATTTGAACCCAAATGCAAACCATGAAATCTGTAAGACAAGGTCACCTGAGAGGCTGGGACTTAACGCGGGAACGAGACTTATGAATCCCATTCTCTAACTGTGGCCTTCTAATAACGTTTCTTTACTAACCATTATAGTGGACAACCGCCTTAGTTACAAGTTTCGAATAGTGGTATTTGTCCATTTACTATTCTTAATTCTAACGGGGTCTGTTCCCTGTGTATATGGTGTTTGTCATTGCCGAGGACAGCTTGCGTATTCTTAGTGTATGAGCTAGACATAGCATTAACTGTCCACAGGATGTACGACGTACTCCAGTCAGCGCCTCCGCAAGTGCAATCAAGTCAATTTTGACCCCCCGACTTGCTGAATTGGCTATTTTTTTTTTTTGGTGTTTTTGATTACTTGGACCAATTGCAATTAAAATAAATCAATCACCATACAAAAATACGTCATAGCTATATAAAAGAATTCACGATGATCCTAATAACCCAAAGTTATTGCTGGGCAGTACAACCCCCCTCTTCAGCCAGTTCTTCGCCAGTTGGAGACTCTCTATAGTACTGGGGCTCATCGCGAGCCTCTGCGAAGTGAGGGTTAACTTGGCCCAGCTAAAAGCCCTCTCGCAGTCGGCAGACATCGCCGGCACGGCGAAGACGTCGACGGCAAGCCGGTAGAGCGCCGGGAACGTCTCCGACTGCCGTAGCCACCACATAACGGGGTCGTTGACGGCCTCCGGGGGCCTCCGGAGGAAGACATCAAGCTCATCGATCCGGGGCGGCGTTCGGCGGCGCCGGCTGTTAACCCATTGCCGGAAGTGAACGTCATCATCGCTCCGAGCCCCGGGATCAACGGGATGCCGTGCCGGCATCGCTTCCGGCCCGGCCGGCGTATCCTCCAGCTGTTCTTTGCGATACCACTTGTTGAAGTAGTCTGTGAGGCCACTTAGAGCATCGTCAACCCACTCTTTCTGGTGATCTTCTTTCCAGGCATCGCGTAGGTATGATATACCAAATGACGGATGCAGAATGATCGCTGCAGAAAAGAGTGGTGAGTCTCCCATTAACTAACTCATAGTACTCCCACAACTTCTGCCAAGTCTGTTCAATGCTGCTGCGGAGGAAGACCTGCCATCTCTCGTCGAGCGAATCGAATCGCGAGGCTAATCGCGAGGCTGGCGATGCCCAGTCTTCATGAACGTGGGTAGGGAGGGCTTGTATGCGAAATTGGCGGCGACGACCCCGGCCCGAACGTGACCGTGACTGCTGCGAGTGATCCTCGAGATCGTCGTTGGCGAATGGAGAGATCGTGGCTTTGTAATACGTCTTCCAGTTCAGCAGATGAGAAAGAAGATATTCTGTACCCATCGTGACCTCCCAAAGTCGACCATGACCGTCGCCGACACCCCATCCCTCACGTCTCTTCGTCTGACGGTAGAAGGGCTCCAAAATCATACCTATCTCGGCCAGTACCTTCCAGTCGTCTGGGGAGAGAAGGTCTGCTTCTGGGATGTGTTGTTTGACGTCCGCATCGTCTTTGCTCGACAGTATGAAGCTCTGGATCTCCATCTTCTTCTCTATGGCTCTCTGAATCATGAGATACGTACTGTTCCATCGAGCCTCGTTGTTCAGGATGAGAAGGGCCTCCCGGCGTGACTCCGAAAATATCCGGAAGTCCTCGGAGTCACCGTCGATGTCCGCCGAAGCCTTCCGGTACCGTTCGTGGCGTTGCGGCGATGACCGGATGAACTTAACGATATTACGGAGCCGGCCGACGGGGCCGATCTTCCGCCAAAGCTCGAGATCCTCCTCATGCCGGTCCGTCAACTGGTAGCAATCCGACTCGGCCTCAGGAGTCCCCTTGTCGGCGCCGAAGAGGAATGCCCGGGCCGCAAGATTGAGGATGTGGCCGTAGCACCGCATACGCCGGGCCTTCACGTCCGTCTCCGTCATCTCCGGGTCAAGGTTCCGGTAGAAGGCCCGGAGACAGCTGTCGTTAGTTGTAGCGTTATCGGAGACCGCCGCCCCGATCTGATCCCGAATCCGGTACCGGTCGACGACGTTGATGAGGGTCTCCGAGAGGGCAACGCCGCTGTGATTGCCGTGATGTTGACGGAAGGCTAGAAGGCGGGATTGTAGGGCTCCACGATCATCGATGAAATGACAAGTGACGGCCATAAAGGCGTAAATATTCGGAGATGACCATAGATCGAATGATAGATGGATTTTTGAGGCCGCTGAGTGAAGTTCTGCCATCAACAGCCCCTCTTCGCGTCGGCAGATGTCATCCAGACGGTCACGAATAGATGTATGCCCCCACGGCACCTCGTTGGCGATCTCCATACTATGGTACTGCAGTACTTGCTGGAGGTAGGCGTTCTCGAAGTGAGAGAAGGGGAGATCGGCAGAGACGACGGCAGCCACGCAGAGATCGCGTAGAGTCGTTACTTTGGCCTTCGGGATATTCGAATTGCCGAGCCGGAGCCTCTTCAGCGATGGAGGGGTCGATGTGCATGCTGACGACGGAGGAGTAGTACTGTCAGAGTCCTCATCTGAGTGGGGAGAGATCCTGCATATATTATGGGCACTTCAGCGTCGTTAGAGTGTGAATAGTATGGGGAGAAAGCTGGGATAACCATACCGAAGTAAGTGCTCTGCAGGGGCAGATGTGGCAGTGGCGCCGAAGACTCTCGGGCTGCCCTTCGAGTCACATCGATCACAACTCCAGAAAGACCCCCCGGCGCGGCCCTGAATAACCTCGACGAGGAAAGCGCCGTGATCTCGAATCCAGCTAGATCGACCCCGCCCTCGCTTTCGCGATAGCTGCGCTTCAAGCACATACCTCTTGTTACCCACGACGATCTGTGTGAGGTCGTTGATCGTAGGATTCGGAGGGATCGCGGCGGCGAGAGCGTTTGCGATCTGCGAAGAGATTTGGAGGCGTGGGGCGCCTAAGATGGCATATGCGTTGGCAGTTGACGACGAGGCAGTGGCAGCGGCAGACATCTTCAGTTTAAGGATGATAAAAGTGATGATATATATAAATGATAAGTATGAGATGAGATGCTGAATATCTTTTGCAAACAGCGCCCAATCCTGACGATACTTATACCATTCGATTTGCCGCGATCACTTCTATTCCTCCAGAGATCTTGAGAAGGATTGGCTGCTAACTGGTATTGTGAGGGCGTTCTGAAAAGCCTCATCAGAATATGTGGTGATCGAGGGGTTGGCAATAGTGGCATGTTTCAGTGGCTGGGCATGCCCGAATAAATGGGGCCCCGACCGATCTACGACCTCCTATTGGCTAGATTATAATACATCAAGTTAGTCAAGTCAATCGGAGGGGGTCGAATTGACTACTTGAGGGATGGAGATGGCCTCACTTTGACTACTTGGGTTGAATAGTTTGTCAATCCGATTGCACTTGCGGAGACGCTGACTCCAGTAGAAGTGATCACGGGGCAGCTTAGCTCATGAAATTAAATTTAAGATATAAAGGTAAAGTTTGTGTTAAGTATTTGACATTGTGTACTAATACTCTTATTAATGTGATACCTTATACGTATGCGAAGATCAGGCGTATCCTGTTGCTCTGAACGATTTTGTGATACGAAACAACCTCTAAGCCCGTGACTGTTTGACTAGACTGACCATGTCAGCGAAATTTCAGCCTAGTCTATCGCTTTCTGCCGTTTATTATAAAGTCAGACTCGCGTTCAGAGGCAATACAAGACCCGAGGCTTTCCGCAGCAAGGTCTTTCGTACTCAGTCTTCCGTCTTCCAGTTAGTAGAAAGATACGTGTTCTTGTTCTCGTCCCTCTTTCTCTATATCGATTACTAGAACGTTGCCTGTCTTGAACAACATCTGGTCCACAGCCTTGTAGGAAGTTAATGCTATTGTTGCTGATGTTATAATTCTCACATAGGCTATGACGCCACTCTACCGTTAAGCACCACTTGCGAATTACTTACTTATATCACTGTCTGCTTCTTCATAGAGCAGCAGAGGGAAAAAGTCCCACCGAAGGGCTGGAGGCACTACGACGGGAGGTAGGACTTTTTGGCAGCACCTATTTACAGTATACCCTAGACAGTAAGTGAGACCCCTACCCCTATTAACAGAGGACTCGCTGGCTAGAAAAGAAGAGCGGACATCTCACATCAAGATATATGTTTATAAGCCCTAATTCGGCAGAATACCATGCCTGGACCGTTAGCACGTCCTGCATACACACTTGTGTTACTGTCAGCTGTCCGGCAGTAGGGTCTGCTAACAGATTTTAGGGATTGACGTTTAAACAGTACACTGGGGTCGTGGTCGTACGTCGTAAAGTCGCAGGCTATAGTAGATCAGGTCTTCAGAGGCTAAGGTGATCAATCTTAGACTCAGTAAGTCATTCGCAGTGAAGGTAAGCTGAAAGTATCCTGAGGATGAATATAAAGTTGATCGCTCAGGAGCTATGGAAGTCCGACCATGAGCTAAGCTCAGGTCATACTATATACAAGTCTAATTCTGAACATGTCTCTTTGTACCTTGGATCGTCTTAGATCGTCTTGGATCATTTCGATCCAGAATAATCGTGGGCCCTAAGACCAGCAAGTTGATGTAGAATGCTGAGAAACCTTCACAGCCCACCCGGTTGATGTAGAGTATATCTTGCTTCAAGAGGAAGAGCTTTCATTCTCATGGCTGCTAGTTGAGCCGCGCGGCACTACGCGGCGGGTCTGGCATTTATCGTGCAGGCATGAACTCACCGCTTGAGTGGGTTAGGAGAAGCGAGCGGGTTGAGCTGAGTAGGTGCAGGCCGCTATACTTTGAAGAATGATTTCGTGTACGCACGATTAGATAGGAAGGAAATTACGATCCTGGTCATGGGAATTAACTCTTCACGATCATGTTGAGGAAGTTTCATAGCCCACCCTATAAGAGGGTCCACAGTAGATACTCTTCACGATCATAGAGCAGGATGGAGGTCGTACAGTATTGGGACATTGCTGGTCCATTCTGCCCTGACAGGAAAGTGACTTCTCTTACTGTCTGATTTCATCGAGGAGTTTTCGCTGCAGGTAGGGTCTCTCATGGTTCCACTGCACCCCGTCAGCTGAACAAAGTCCCCTTCCCGGGCGCGCGGAAGAGCCGACCCGACAATCGCAAGAGAAAGAGTTGATTTTCCGTTCCACATGGCCGTAATCTCGCCAAGAGCCATTATTGGCCACAATCACCCAGAGTTGGGTAATCCTATGCCTGTCCACCCCCAGGCTTGGGCCGTTTCGATTTTCCTCCCTATTCATTCTTCGCCTGTTTCCCCCGTCCGAAGCACGAATTAAAAATGTTTCCAAGTTTTGACTGGAGTGAGCTCCGCCTCCACTTGACGCCTTGATTTGCTTTTATCTTACCCCATCCTCTCATGGCCAAGATTGGGTACGGTGGACTGCAATTGTCCTGGTGGCTGAGGCTGAAGTCCAAGTGTCCCGACACCACCCCAATCGATGTAAGTGGGGGGATGTGGAAAAGAAAGTGTCCTGAGCGATACTGAATCATCCTATCGGCGTAAGCAACACCAATCTAACCTAGTAGCTTTGATACGGATCTTATCATCACGTGACTTATACCATTGTTCTTCCGTTTCCAAGTGAGTCCCTGTTGTTCCTGTGATTCTGCAGTACAAATGTCCTGTTCTAGCCGCTTAACGCCCGGGTGGGTCGGTTAACTGTTATTCCTGCATAACGGGTCGTAACAACTTGGTCTCATGCCTCCTAAGGAAAGTGTACCCAGGTTGCCTTTATCATACGTGTGCTAGGCCTTTGTATGTTGATGTTAATGCGTCGTCGAGGGGAGGTTTATAGAGCCGTAGCACGATGACGCCTCATTCGTCTCATGACAGTCAGGTATCGAATTGTAGAAGCCTGAATAGTTAGCGAGTCAAGATTGAAAATCCTCTCTTCACTAGTGAAAAACAGAGGCCCCTAGCCTGCCTAGGAGGTGTTATCAAGCCCCGGCCATGATAAGCCATTGTACAACGTCATCTCTATGCCCTGCGTCGTTTGTAGAGATGGGCCGAGAATGGGTTCATCGGACCGTTGGAACCTAAATGGGAAGGGGCTTGGGGCTTTCGAGACCGGGTTGTGGAGGGCCTGTCCACCTACCCACAATTTCTGACCCAAATACATCAGACCTGCTAAACCGGTCAGGCCGCTCGGCCGTCAGCTGTCACATATGTCAAGCGTGGTTTGCGACTAGTGTGCACCACTCCCCATCCATTCCTCTCTCCGGATTCCACTGGCGGTGCTGTGACTTAGCACTACCCGCAGGCCTGGTCCGGCTGGAGATGACCAAGACCCCGGCGTATCCTAATCGCCTTGCCTCAAACCATGCAGATGTGGGTCTAGACCTCAGCAGATGGATGGATTTGCGCTCATAGAGTCGCATTCAGCCGGGCTGGGTTAGAAGAATGGCGGGAATCAGATGCAGAATATCTCCCTCACCGGCCGGGAGGAGATTTGAGGATACGTCGTCGGCAATTGCTCATAGTCGGTTACCTATATCATTGGTTCAGAGTTTCGGCTTCACGAATTCGCCATCCATCCCAGGGGCCAGTGCGGCGGTGCCTGCAGGTCTAGCCTGATTAAGCACGACAGGCATCCCTAGCCCCTCCCTACCCCTACCCCTACCCACCCTAGATCTAAGCCAAACCCTAAAATGTTATTGATCTTGGGGTTTGGTGGCCAAGGGGGGGGGGGGGGTGAGGAACAAAGCAGGTAATGGGCGGGTCGTGCTTTTGCTGGCGTAGATGGGCCAAATGATTAGTGCCGAAGCGACGACATGCTGCGAGGGAGTTGCGGCCGAGGGAGATGTGAACCCTAAAGCAGCTGCCGGGACAGAATCCCTCACAGACTTGTGTTTCGCGCCCATATACGTCGTCGCTTTGCCTCTCATAATATCGTGATCATCTGTGCAGCGCGAGCATATGCGTCTCCCGAACCGTCGAAAGCGCATCTCCTGAGGACTGGGAATCGAAGACCTGTATCGCATCCCCAAACCATTGCAACACCTGTATTTGATCGAGATGACCAGTTTAGGCGCACGATCGCCAGGGGTTCTCCAATCTGGAACGAATGTAAGGTGCAGTCTTCTTCTGCAATCACTCGGCCGTCGGCTGTACGGGCTAAAGTCTCTGCCCACTCGTCTTCCGTAGGTAAGCTGAAAGTATCCGAGTATATGTACAAAGTTGATTACTGAAGAGCTATGGAAGCCTGACCATAGGTTTTTTCTCAGGTCATACTATCGTCCTTAGTACAAACGGCCACCGTACGTACGAGGGACGGTTACCATCGGGATCAAAGACAGTAACCAGACAACGGACACTGTTCAGGACTTGTACATAGTATGACTTTAGCCAAAGCTCATGTTCAGACTTCTATAGCTCTTCTGCAATCCACTTTATAACTAAACATTCTACGAACAGTTACAACCTAGCTTCACTCTGAATTACCTCTATAACTAATCTCCTTCGACTTTGAAGACCTACACTGAGATTTGTGCCTGTCCATCGCTCGGGTTAATCCGCTTTGCTATTTAACTTGACGACAGATCTCCCAAATCATCAAATCATGGGCGCGTCTTTTCCACAACCTTTGTTCGGTGCTTGTTTGATACAAGTCTTCTTGTCAAAGCCTCATTTCGTTTGTAGACACCTTACGAAGGGGTGCTTCTCCCAGATGAGGCTTCTCCAAATATATAGTCTTGATTTCAGGCGGATTTAGGGAGGTTCGCGTAATGGCAGTAGTAATTTCTTCAGACAGCCCCCGCATCAATTGGGGCACTCGAGCGTGAGCTGCTAATTGGAAGAGGCTTCGCATGAGTCAGCTCGAAGCACCGTGTCCGAGGGTTTAACCAGACATACCTCGGAAAATCAGAATTGAAGCCTGACTTCTTGCCAATGTCGCGCTTCGAAGGTTTGTGACTCTTCCAGGGCTCTTCACGCCAAGCCTTGTGGTTTGGAGGGAAGCCAGCCAGCTGATATTGCACACCACCGGCGGCCGCCGAGCCGTACTTTCGTTTGTCGAAGTCTTTGTTCATGGTCGACTTCCCGAGATTCCTGCCTTTCAACTGTCTCCAGGAGACTATCTGTTCGTACTTGATGCCTCCCAAGGCCGCGAACTCGAGTTCCTCATCGAAGTCACTGTATTTACCAAGGGTGCCAACAGTATCAATCATGTTTGGGGTAACGTGAATCTTGTAAACGAAGGCCGAAGGCTTCCCGTAAACAAACGTTGCTGCGACGGTTTCGCTGGTACTGGTGGAGACGAATCCGTCTTCGTCCCGGCTCTTTATGTTATGGGTACCTTTCATGTGATTGAAGAGGCTGGTGTCCGCAGTTTGAAGTCCGAACCTGGTTTGGCCCTTCGCGAGAAACCCTCCAAGTCGTTTGATCTCGCCGGGCGATCTTGTATCGCCCCGGTAGACGTACGACACCGTAGTAGGGGCTCCGTGACATAGAAGATGCCACAACTGGGCCCCCAAAAAGAATAGGAGGAGCGGGCGATGTCGGAACATTTTGGTTGAAAATGTGAAGCCGGAGAACAGGATGAGCGCAAGCCAATCGCAGATGGAAGCGAGAGATCGAGAAGAGTGAAATGTGATGTTTTGGGAACCTATAACCACAGCCCTCGGATGTGCCACGGCGACCTAGGAGTTTATACTAGGTACGATCAGCCCCTAGACCGCATCCTCCTGAGCGGAGAGACTCCTTGACATCTGACCTGTATTTAGGTGGAGTTGGATCTTACGGCTTAGCTACTCTTTATTAACAGGAAACTATTGTTAGCATCCCAAAGACCTCCATTCAGCACGGATTGCCGATGAGGAAGGCTTGCCGACCGGCCTGAACGCAGCCCCGCCGAAGGCACGTGGCTAACGGCGTCCCCGGGCGACTGAGCAGGAAGCGGGACGGGGTTTTGTGTTCGCCTGTCAAGTATCGGAATTTCCGAACACCGTCATGTCTGTGCCTCAGCGCTAGGAGAAGAGAGACCAAAATTCATGTACCTAGCTTCGCGTTTTTTATTCATTCATCAATGAGTTGCTTTAATTCTATTCAGCTTCAGTGATATTTATGATCAGCTATGCCTAGAAATGAAGGGATAGAAAACATTCTGCAGGTAGACCAAAAGTCGCGATATTCCGCGTCATCTATTTATCAAAGCGAGGTCACATTGGTTTTCAAACGTTCTCGCCGTACACGGGTCGCAGTAATATCGTTGTCTAACATCCTCCCCACCGCTCATATTTTAACACTCTTTCGTATCGTATACAAACGATGTAATATTGCTCCTACATATCATAATGATTTCCTTGGCTCAGCTTCTTACTGTTCTTGTGGCCTCTGTAGCTATCGCCTTCCCGGTCTACCTCTTCCATGACGGAGGGGTGATTATTGACATGTGTGCTATTGATGCAGGTTGAAATCGGCAATTCCGCTTATTATTCGTCCGCTAGATTACTTAAGTTGCCGATTGAATACGTCCGCGTCTGCAGAGCTGGCCCAAGTAACAGCAGCGGCGCTTTGTAGGGCGAGGCCAAGCTCGCCGACGCCAACACTATCAAGGGTTCCAGTGGCTACCTGAGACACTTTGGTAACCTAGGCGGCATCATGAACTTTGCTTTAGGCTGCTCCAGTGATGCTTGGGAATTCCTCGTCCTACCTGGCGGAAAGACCTACCGTCTCGACGCTAAGAAGAGCGGCAACTCTATTGGTTCTATTCATGTCTCTTACAATAAGGGCCTCTAATTATGGGGCATTGGACCCAAGGGGACGGCCAACGGTAACGGCGATCTTGACTACTGCGCTCTCAAGCCCGTGAGCCAGGGAAAGGGAGAAGGAAAGGGAAAAGTCGAGTTCGAGGGGAGTACCACCACCTAGACACACATGTCCTCATGCGTACTCAATAATCACGCTTTCCACCACAGCTTGCTGTGACGGTTGGCTATCTGAAAATACGGAGCTTATCATAGAAGCCGGGGACTGACGCTGTAGATCAGATACGTTAGCACTAAGTCGCAGTATCACAGACTGCAGTGGATCAAGTCTTCAAAGGCTAAGATGATCAGTATTAGGCTTGAATGAAGTATTCGCAGTGAAGATGAGCTGAAACTATCCGAGGATGTTTACAAAGTTGATTGCCGACGAGCTATGGAAGTCTGACCATAAGGTTAGCTCAGGTCAACCTATAAACTAGCTCTGAACATTAACATTGTACCAACTACCAGATTCGGCTGCCCATTAGCAACGATTCCTCGATGGCGGGGTCTTGCTAACAGCCAATCCGTCCACTTCGCCATGCTGTTACCACCCGTTATGCAAGGATAACAATTGACTGACCCACCTGGACGTCAGGCGGCTAGAACAGGACATTATTACTGAAGAATCACGGTAGTAGTAGAAGTAGTAGTGGTGAATACAGCGTCTCCAGCGACGAGAGACGTTTTGGGCGCGATGCCGACATGGCCTATGCTAATATAAATCATGTTATAGGTCCACGTCTTCACCTAGCGCTCCTGTTCAAACCGCTCCAAAAGGAAGCAGATCTTCTCACCTGACTAGAATCCTCTTATTAGCCATCCTTTTCCTGGGTCGCTTCATCCACAAGAAAGTTAGTGTTGAGTCTGAGACTGATCACCTTGACCTTTAAAGATTTGAGCTACTACACTCTACGATACTGCTACGATTTGACACTACGACATTGGATCTACAGCGTCAACCGCCAACTTCTGTGAGCAGGCCATACTGTCGGATGGCTAACCGTAGCAGAAGTCCGCCCAGCAACTACTCTCTCTCACCACCACGTCCCACACCAAGCGCGTAAACTTGACTCTGATTTGCGAAGGGTTTGCAACGACTTTCGACGAATCTGAAGTCCGAAAAGCCGAAGGCCAAAAACGGTATCCAACGGGTAAGGTACACTGTAAGTTTGCCGGGAAAGTCGTGGGGATGTCGGCAATCTCCGAACCGATCGGGATCAGCGCGTGCTCGTGCTAAGTACTCTCCTTGCAGCACTGGTCCTTGAATCCCCGACTGATGGGCGGGATCCTACGTAAACGCGATGAGACCAGCTCAACCGGGCTACGCGCGGGTAGAAAAGAGCGTCGCAACTACTTGTTAGCTTTATAAAAGGCAAACAACCAGGTCGCATCAAACTGACGAAGTCTTCCATCCCAGAGAACTTACCAAGCATGTGCTGGTATGAGAGCTCGTCCATTGAGCGACGTAGTCGGGTATCCATCCGGCGAGAGATGAGTGCACGAGGGTTCATGAATTTCATAGCCGAGTGGATACTGGCTCATACGCTGCTGGTCTTCATTCTTTGTTACCTGCTATCTTCGATATCTCCATCCCGCGGATTGACCTGTTGCCCTTCCTTCATCTGAAAATCAAGCTAGCAGGTATCTGGGTCGAGGAGCCTAAACGCATTGCAGTCCGTGGATTTCAGCTGCCAGTGATACGACCCAGCGCGACTCTGTTAGCCACCTCGTTGTTTTTACGATCAGCAAGGCGCTTCGCGAGATCACTGCCGGTCCAGAACATGTTGTCTAACGGCTAGGTCGGATGCTCTGCGGAGAATCATTGAATCCGTAGGGATACTCCCCTCCCTCGTCGCGGACCTGCATTGAGGGTGGACTGCGAGCGAGCTTGGGGAACGATGCCTTGGTTATGCGTCAACGTTGGGAACGGCCATGGCAATCATACATCGACTTTCTTGCCGGGCGTCCGTAGCACGGTGAACCCTTCGTCCGCCATGAACTGCCCGCACCCCCATGTGGGGAAACCCTCTTGATTGATTACTTCGCCGCCACCGCAGGGGTTTTGAGCTGTCTGATGAGCTCGTCAACACGACGTCGCCCATAGAACATACACCAGCAGGACGGGCATGAACTCACGGCTTATGAGGTCTGTCTGGCCCCCAGTACTCGGTAGGCGTTAGACGAAGGGGTCGGTAATTGGCGCCTTGATCCAGCGGAAGGACCTGGTAGCAGAAGGACCAGGACCTACCTGGTGAACAGCAAAAATCTCTGCACTACCGACCTCAGTTTGATGCTGCTTATTGACGGGGACCTTCTTTTGACTCTGTAGTCTGGCTTCGCACCTATTAAGGGCAGCGTCGAAAGACATTAGTGAGGAGGCAACGGTGGCCTACCCTCCACCCTTATAGTCGGCGGGAGCCTCTAGGACCTGTGAGCTCTCTAGAGCGCTATTTTAAGGGGCTAATCATCGACTCAGAAGGCTTTCAGGCCTTCCTCAGCGTGACAGATTTCTTTCAGAAGATCTGCCCGCGGTACTAAGAGATAGGCTGCAGCCTACTCTCTAAACAACCAAAAAAAAAATAAAAAAAAAATAAAAATAATCTGTTATAACGGAACTAGGGCACCAGTGGGAACTAGGGAAGGATGGAACACGTAGTAGCCTGCGGGCAATACTTGGAGGACGTTAGGAAGCGGCATGTGCTTAGAGTATATACCTAGAACCTGCGGCCCTCCACGCCATATACCCTTCGGGAGGTCTGCCGCAAGGGCGTTTTGCGTCCTTGCCGCCACGGCGTTAAATATAAAACAAACAAACAAACAAACAAACAAGGGCAGCGTCGACTCGTGGTTTGGAATGCTGGGGGGCGAGGCTGTACAGAGGAGGGTCGCTTCCCTTCAAACTGGACGAGATGAAGAAATCCTTTGTTGACGGGAGCTTCCTTCTGATACTTTTCTTTCCGCGCCGGTCGAGGCGCGCGCTTGACCACAGGCAGTCTTCGTGTAGACCTAGAAGACGAGCCTTCATGATCAGCTCCGCACCGTCGGAGGCGCCGATGGCTGCCGAGAGGGTCATTTCACTCGCATAGTAGCTAGTACAAAGGTCACTCCCTGCTTCTTCATGAGGGAACCCTTGCCAAAAAGCTGAATCGCATCCAGCAGATCCGCGTCGAGCCGAACGCACCAGATAGGCCTGAGGAACAGTTCCACTTGCGCAAGTTAGGACACTGAAGTCTTTCAAATCTAAAATAAGACACTGAGCTGAAGACGTTTCTAATTATAGAGTAAAAATTGCAAAAGCGCGTCAATTTCTCGCCCACTGTCATTGCTAATTGAACTGAGCGACTTGAATGCAATACATAAAGCGCGCGGTTGAATATTTCGTGTTCGGGGCAGGACCAACCGTGTTATCAATTGCTTCATCATTGCTTCGTTTTCTTCCACTCAAGTATCAGCATCTAACATCTATTCAACGAGAAGTTTCTGCACTTTCTTCAATATGTTGACAGTACTTACCATATTCCTCATTGCTTTGAACTTCTCGCATGCCTATGCTGTTTTAACTCCTTCTGAACGCAGCCGTCTTGCCTCTGTTGAAAAGCGAGCGCTGACATCCTGGGTGTCCATGACCAAAGGAAGCGACTGGCCATGCTCATCATCACAACTCAAAGATATTGAGAAATCGATTGAGTATGCGAAGATCTTGGCGAACGGAGCCATGGTAGCTCTGGATAATACTGGGACTTCATCGAAGGCCTATGTGAGATGGTTTGGCAGTACGTCAACACACACTCACCGTTCTTGCGTCTTGCCGCCAACGATGTAGTTGGACTCTTTTGCTTCTTAGCTTGATCCATGAAGTTGAGCGCTAACCGTGCTTGTGATAGAAACAAATACCAATAAAGCCCAGCTTTCTACGATCAAAACCAGCCACTTCGGGGCACCAAATAGATTCCTGCAGACGCCATCAAGCACCGTCAAGTCATACGATGAAGGCGGTCCGAACTCCCAAAGACTAGTCTATGCATGCCCTCCCCAGGACTTTCCCTTGTGTAACGGCGGGGTGGCAGCTGCCGCCATCAATTCTGGCGACCAAATATTCAAAACCAACATCCTCCTCGCGTGTCCTTCTTTTTTCAAGAAGGCCAGCAATTCGCAGATGCTTTCAAATTGGCGGAAGGGAAAATACACGCCATCTGCGGGGATGATATTGCTGCATGAAACGCAGCATCTCGATGCTATTGTTGGGAAGGGCAAGCGCTGTGTCGATCTGGCATATCCAGTAGACAGGTAGGTCTTTTCCCGCATCCACGATATTGTCTTGTATAAAACACGTGAGATTCGAAAATACTAAACATGAAATATCAGTTGCGAGAAACTTGCAGATAAGGATAAGATCAGGAACGCCCAAAACTACGCATTCTTCGCCCTAGACGTCACAGCGATTCCGCCTAAACGGAAGTAGGGTGGGTGGGTTTGGTATGAGACTTTCGGCTACGAAAGGGAGAGATGTCGGGATGAGGGGTGGTATTGGTCATTGAAATCTTAATATTTCCTATATGATTGTCAGATAATTCAAAGTTTACGATGTATTCACGTCGAGAAACTCCAATCACCTTATTAGAAGAAGTCTTCTGCTATTGTCTGTCTTGAGGAAGGAGGCTATCGCCACATCCGCTGGAATTAGTTAGTGCTTGTGGGCTCCTCGCTACATTGTGCAGATTGTTACGGTCAGCTATCCGACAGTAGGGTCTGCTAACAGAAGCTGGGGATTGACACGTTATAACAGTACACTGGGGTCGTGGTCTGGGTCGTAGGTCGTAGGCTGATAGTAGATCAGGTCTTCAGAGGCTAAGGTGATCAGTCTTAGACTCAATAGGTAATTTGCAGTGAAGGTAAGCTGAGAGTATCCTGAGGATGAATACTAAGTTGATTGCTGAAGAGCTATGGAAGTCTGACCTTGAGCTAGGCTCAGGCCATACTATATATAAGTCCTGAACAGTGTCCCTTGTGATGGCTATGTATGATATCCGTGTTATCCAACATATCCATGGATAGCTGGGATAGCAAACATATCCAACATATCCATCTTACCTTGCGTCCGTGCTGTTCCCGAAGTCACGTGACCTGTACCATAGTTCTTCCTTTTCCGATGGTTTCTGGTTACACCTGTGTCACTGCTTACATATGCTCCGCGTTAGCCGCCGAGATCCCAGGCGGGGTTGTCCCAACGTGTTATGCCTAACGGGTCGTAACATTGTATCATGTATCGCTGCTCCCGTAGGATCCACACCTATTAAGCAATATGGACTCTCCGAGCCAGGAGAGCTGGGTAGACCCATCTTGACGCAATTGAGGTCTAAAAAAAGGTTGGCCGCAGCCGAGCGCGTGCCTCGACCGGCGCAGAGCAAAAAGTGTCAGAAGGGAGCACCCATGATCACAGGCCAACGATGAGTGCGACCGGTCTGTCCTTCTATTATTACCTATACTATTTTTTTCTCTCTACGTCCTCTCCCGCGTGTGAACCTGTCGTTATGAGGGGTACAGCCATTGAGAGAGTTAGGGGGCTCTTTGACCGAAGACAGAGTCACCTATTGCAGCCCGTTTCCCCCCCGCCGTCTGCTGGCCTGTTACTACTAAACCATCCGTCCCCCAGCAAGCCGTACGTCGCATTTGTCGAACTACTATCTCCGACTAGTTGTCTTTTCAAATGTCGTCTTCTGCATCTCAGGGCTGGGTGGCCAGGCTGTCTGGTCTCCTTGTGCTCTTCACTCTCTTCCAAAGTATCGCAGCTCAGGATCTCAACCTCAAACTTGACAAACGTGCCCGGGACAAAGAGCAGCATATCCTCTACTCCTCTAAGCTCACCTTCACTAGCGACACTACAACACTTTTCAACGACGACCAACTCTATGGGCTTGCTGACTTAGCTTATACCCAAATGCAGGCCAAGTTTAATGTTGATCACATCAGGGCACAGGATCAGCCCGCCATGATAGCTGTTATGGCCGTCAAAAACAACATCTTCATCTCGTCCAGCCAGAAGGGAGACGGCCCTTCTCTGTACGACTACGGCCCCCGGCATCCCAAACCACGAGTCGTCGCTGCCCTTAACCAGTGCCAAGCCAGACTACAACGCCAAAAGAATGTCCCAGTAAACCAGAAGCATCGAACCGAGGCCGGCTGTGCGGAGATTTTCGCTCTTCATCAGGTAGGTCCTGCTCCCTCTGCTACCGGGTCCTTCCCATGGACCAAGGCGCCATTTACCGACTCCTTCGACTAACACCTCCTAAGTACTTTTTGGACAGCGATACCTCGCAGCAAGCTAACAATCACCCACACTCCATCCGCATCGTGGCCTATGGTAAAGGGGGCCGGACAGGCGTCGCGGGCCGTGAGTTTTTACCTGTCCTAGTGTATGTTTCATAGTCGGCGTCATACTAATAAGCCTATTAAACAGCTCAAAACCCCTGCGGTGGCGGCGAAGTCGTTAACCAAGAGGGCCGTCTAACATGGGGGTGCAAGCAGTTTATGGCGAACGAAGAGATCGTCGTGCCACGGAAGCCCGGCAAGAAAGTCGACATAAAATTGCCACGGCCGTTTCCAACGTTCACGCATAAGCAAATCAGCATCGTGCCCCGTGCCTCAAGCCCCTCCACGCGACCCACACCTAGGGGGGCGAGCATTAAGAAACCAGCGAGGATGCTCCGCAGAACATCCGCCAAGACAATAGACAACAAATTCTAGGTCAGCAGTGGTCGCGCTAGGTCATTGGATTAGTAGCCGAAATCCACGGCATGTAACGAGCGTGAGCTCCTCGACCGAGATACTCAGCAGCCGGGTTATCAGATGAAGGAAGGGCGACAGTTAGGACCGCGGGATAAGATAGCTAGCTGTCCAGCGACTGTAAAATGTCTGGCGGTCCATAAGGAACGCTAACCTGATACCAGGATATGTGTGAGAGGCTGTTTAGTTCCACGGCCAAAAGCGGTGAACTGTAAAGTACGAACAAGGCGAAACTGAGGGCAGGTTAGGAGGAGAAAAGTAGATAGATCGCTAAAATCAGAGCTAATACTATTGCTACAATGCACACTGTATGTTGCTGTAGTGACAGTTGTAGGTTCCGCGACGAGTCGACGGATAAAGCTCATTAACAGCATCTCCGCCTCTACTAACAATCCAAGTCCATCCCTACCTGGCCACAGCCTACAATTCGACCCTATTGGACTACGACATAGGCTTACCTTTCTGTCTAGTTAATGTCTTCCAGTTGTGCCACGCATATAGTACCTCATATTGACAGCTGCATCATCCCGCCTAGTAAGAACGGTATTACCGAGAAAGAAAAAAAAAAAAGAAAAAAAAAAAAGGCTGGTGGTCCGTACGGCGACACCGCTATATCGATGTTACGACCGCTACAGTTCGTCACTGTAGGTTTGTAACTATATAGTGCAGAACAGGGGATAATGACAGCGGATTTGTCATTACCGAAGCTTTTGCTTTGTGCCACAGTTGGTTGCCCTGACCTGCTCGTAACAATCGACACCGCCATGTCGAGCTAAGCTCGGCTTACTACAAAGATGCACGGCCTGTAAGCTCTCCTTATCAGCACTTATGCTAATAGAGTATCTTAAGGAGACCAGGACCAACAAGAGTTGATAGGGAAAAGCTTTTATCCGGGATATAAACCAGCTTGAGATAGTGCTTAAAGGCAAACATTCCGGGCTAACCCTAAGAAAAAGCAAAGGGACAGTAGCCGGGGGAAAAAAAAAAAGGAAGACCGAGTAATACAACACTAGCATCAAACGCATTCATTCAGAGATTTAGGGTGGGTGGGCTTTCTCCTGCCAAGACTCATAGCAGGGCAACCAGGAATCGTGACTTATCCCAGCTAATACCATCTTCGCCAACGCCGACGCCGTTTGAGATCATCTTATCAGGCGGGGCAACTTGCCTTTCCACTATATATATTCCTGTCACCTAATGGAGATCCCATATTGTGGGAAGTGCCTTGAATCATAAGCCCAGGGATCCGACGGTTTACGTGACGGAGTGCAATGCAGTGCTGTCAACCCTAAGTATAAAACCCCAAGCCAAGGTCGTCACGCTAACCCTACAGGACTTGTTCCCATCTCCCATCAATCTTCTATCAGCCATTCGACTTCTCCATCTCCCGTCCCTCGGCTGCCTTTCCAACCAAATGTATACCTTCTCCCGCCCCACTCGGTTGAACGTAGACGTTTGTCTTCGTTCGAATGTTTGGACAACGCCCCCTTCTTCTCTTCTTCTTAGGGGCCCACATATGGTACGTCTTTTGCCAAGGAGCCCCAACAACGGTCAAATACGTCTATCGTGGAGACACAAGACCCCCTAAGGAGATCAAAAAGCTTGGGGGATTTCTCCCGAAGGGTCAGACAAGCTTCCAGTCTCAAGCCCCAAACACCAGCCTCTTCAGTCATATGAAAGGTACCCCCAACATCCAGAGCTGTGACGATGACGGGTTCGTTTCCACCAGTGCTAGCGAACCCGTGGCAGCGACATTCGTTTACAAGAAACCTCATGCCTTCGTGTACAAGATCCAAGCCACCCCCAACATGATCGACACTGTTGGGACCCTTGGCAAATACAGCGACTTCGAGGAGGAACGCTAATTCGCGGCGCTAGGAGGTATCAAGTATGAACAGATTGTTTCGTGGAGGACGTTGAATGGCAGGGATCTGGGAAAGTCAACGCCAAACAAGGACTTTGATAAGAGAAAGTACGGCTCGGCGGTCGCTGGCGGCGTGCAATATCAGCTGGCCGGCTTCCCTCCAGATCATAAGGCTTGGCGCGAAGAGCCCTAGAAGAAGCACAAGCCCACGAAACGCGACATTGAAAAGGGTTCGGACCCCAATCTCGGTTTCGCAGAGGTATATATCATCGAATTGTCTAATGTGGTCCTCAAAGCTAATGCATGACAAGCAAACCTAATATACTAACAACGACGGCTTCTACTCTAAGCCATTGAAACCCTTCTGATATCCTGGCAATGACGGCTATGACTCGAAGCTGTTGAAACCACCACGAGAAAAACAGCGGGTCCATGCCAATAGGATTAAGAAGCCGTTGAAACCACCACGAGAAAAACAGCGGGTCCATAACAACAGGATTAAGAAGCCGTGATTAAATAACAGCGAAGAAGCCGTTGAGGTTTTCGCTAGTAAAACACTTAAAAGTAGGATTCAATTAAAGCTTGAATTAAGCCGATTATGAAAATTCAATTTTCAGTGTTGCATTCAGGAATGTGAGTCTAGAAATATGTAAATAGTGGGGTAGATGTTTCTGTGATGTCATCCCAGTCCCTGTATTAACTAGCTAATCACAGGTGATCTTGTATCACTGCGGTAGACGTATGATATCGGAGTAGGCGCTTCATGATAAAGATGCTTTAACTAGGCGGCTAATAGGAATAAGAAGAGCGGGCGTTGTCGGAACATCCTACTTAACTAGGTGAAGCTGGGAAATAGGATGAGTGCGTGGCTTTTGCGGGATGTACCGGGGGATAGCAAGGAGAGAAACATACTGTTTTAGACGCTCCCTAGCTACGGCCCTAGAGGATGACACGGCGATCTAAGAATTTTATACCAAGTTAGTATAGTTAGCCCTAAGACCACATTCTATCAAGTAACAGAGGGTATCCTTAACTTCTATCCTATAGTTCAGTAGAGCCTAACCTAATCGGTTAAGCTTCTCTTAATTAACGTGAAATGAGGGCCCATAGAGATAGCGTTTAATACAGTCTCGGAGTTAGCGAGGACGGTATGAACGGTGGAGGTGAGGAGGGTCTTCAAGTGTGGTATATCGGCACCTTAGCTTGGGCCACTGTTCTTGGTCCTAGTTATTACCACATACAGTATGTATCTTGTATCAGAGTCTTTCCGCTGGGATGCAGCATGTAGTAGATGCGTTGGCATGCTAATATTAGCATACAAGAAACCCGTCCGTTTAGTAGAGGGTGCTAGTGGGAATACTTTGCCAACCAGCCTGCACGCGGCCCCGCCGATGGCATGTAGCTGACGGCGTCGCCGCGCGAATAGGCAGGGACTAGAGCGTTGTTTTGTATTCCCCTTTCTAATACTGGATTTTCCGAAGACAGCCCTGTTTATACCTCAGTGCTGGGCGAGGAGGGACTATGATGCATATCCCAGGCTAAATATATCTCCTCTTGTTCTTTTTCCTTTTTATAGTAGGCATGTGTTGCTGCGTATGCGAGGCGAACTCGCGGGGTAAACAGGCGGCGTACACAAAGATTATAAAAGTGTCCTTCTAACTTAACAATCGGCGCTCTTGGTCCCTGCCTCACTGTTGTAGAGGACTTTATTAGTGGTCGTCGTTGTTCTCGTGTATCTTGAGTGGTGGAGGGAGCTTGGTGGGCCGCGGAGGTTTGCACTCACGGGTGGGAAAAGACAGCTGTTTGCACTTGGCCAAGCCACCACCCCCCCAAGACGTGTCGCGAGCCGGCCGCGTATCTGTCGATAACACAGCCCTGTTTGATGAGGGAGATTACTGTTAGTAGTGGATGAGGACCTCTCTCTCTCCTGCTTATCTACAGCTTCTAATAATAACTGATCACAATCATGCTGAATGTGCTTCAAGTCCGCCCAGGCACCCAGGAATAGGGCGATTATACGGATTCAACACAGTGTGCGTTATCCGTATAAAATTCCTGTGGGTTCAGGGTCCACCTGTCTCAATTCGAACCCCTCCTCTGCCGCGCAGGGATGAAGACCCGCAAAGGCAGGGGTGCAGCTCGTGGAAGGTGGTATGATCCCTAAACCATAGGCTATCTCCGAACCAACTCGGGTCCCGCGTTCGTCTGACTGGGCCTAACCCGGCTAACTAGTTGCGACCATAGCACCAGCAGAAAGAATAGCCAGCGTGGTCGAGCACGACCGAGGCCGGCTCTGCCGGATCCAAAGCAAAAGGCCCCACAATCGCCACCAATAAGCCTTAGGTTCGGAGGGTTTTTTCAACATCTGTTTTACAAGGCCTACAGATACCCAGAATAGACCAGCTTCGTATGGATGTTCTATCCCCCCTCATAAGAACATGATCTTGATGAGACATTCATGACCGACAGAATACATACCTTTGCATACGCTTCCCTCATCGTTCCTCCCCTTTATACGCCGCCCGCCGACCTCGAAGCCTGCTATCCTTCTTCCTTCTCCACATCTTCACTAGTATATAATCATTTCAACGCTGCTACGGAAAGTGTCTTAGTGACTTACTGCGCTGTTACTGTGAGAATACTCTGGAGTGGCAGTCTTGGCAGCTATCGGAGCCTCCGAAACGTGTGGATATGGTCGTCGCGCCCCAATACAGTTTCTGCAAGCGTCCAGAATCCAGCACTCTAGGGCCAGCGTGCAGGCAAACGTAGTAATGTGCGGTATTAATGCGTCTCCCATTGGGGCCCCGGCCACCGGGTTCTCGGGAGGAACGAACAGATAAGGTTGCGATGGGTCCGCTCTGGTGATTGCCTTTATCCATCTCATGCGGGACCCTCCGGCTCGTGCTCCACGGTCATCTCCGCGGAGATAACTACCGTCCCTAAAGAGCTACGGTTAGACCTATCAGGTTTACTTAGAGGAATGGACGAGGTGTGGTGCCCGCCGCGGAGCAGGGCTGCTACTCACTTCATGGATCTAAGCGCTTCATGTGAGCAGGGCTGGTGCTTCTGGCTAGGTTGATGGACGATTTAGGGGCGAGATTACGAGCAGTTCTGCGTATAGATAATCTTCCAATAATATAACATACATACATGTCGTGTTATCCCTCGCCACGGCGGTGCCGGCACGCCTCATGCGAGAGAGGCAGAGAGTGGACCGTACGACAGAATATCGACGTAGGTTTGAGGCTGAAGGCATTTTTCCCCCCCATCCCATACTGTCAGCGTCTTACAGTCACAACTCTATTAAACAAAGGCTCCAGGCTTCACATTAAATTCTATCGCCTTCTTTACATCATTACCCTCACTCACCCCTTTTAAACTCATCCAACACCACCACCGGTCACAGACTCACACTACACCACCATATAAACGAAAACCATAAAGCCTACTCATTGTCTCAGGATGAAGTTCCCTATGTCTGCCTTCCTTGTGGGACTCGCCGCCATCTCTGTGGCCGCCTCCCCTATGCCTATGGGAGATATCTCCATGGCCGATCCGAAGCTCGCCCGCGATTGGGCTTCCTCCGTTGCTCATGACCACCAAGTCGACTTTGTAGAGCCCGTTCATGTCCAGGCCAGAGAAACTATCGCGAACGCCGATCTCGAGGCGCCTTCCGCTGGTCTGGGCAAGCGCGCTAAGAACTCCAAGTTCAAGATCCATGTCGTCAACGGCGCCTCCCGGGTACTCGGCATCATTATCATTGACTACACCATCAACTCACGATCTAAGGCGCCCGAGAACATCTCGGCTTCCTTCAATAAGCTCACTAACGTGAGGACGAAAGGGAAGATTGTTGCCACCCACTTCCAGCAACGCGCACGCCCTCAAGCCACGCCGCAGCATGCCGTGTTCGACTTTGCGACGGGAATGGTTTCTGGAGTCATTGACCTGACCTTAGATGGTGCTGGTACCGTTACTGGTATTGCCTCGTCGGCGGGCGTCCACCTCAGTGGCGCGGTTGTTGCTAGGAAACTTCTTGTCTTCAACGAAAACAATGCCAATATTGGTTCTATTAACCTCTAAGCCAGGGAGGAGTATCTGGTTGTGGTACGATAATCTAGCGGGGTTCGACAAAGCACGTCGCTGTGGGTTGGATTGCTTCATTAGCTATGTCTCTTGTTATCCGCAGGCTTCTACCGGTCTTTAGAGGCGGCAGGTTTGATCGTCCAGGTCCCAGCTTCACGAATGCCTAACTGGTTACGTCATTAGACCTTGCGCATACGCATTGGTAGGACAAGAGCCAGTTTGTCGATGACGAAGAGTTTCACGTGATGGTGAAACGGCATACAAAGACAGTAACTAGGCAGCTATGGTAGGCTGTTTGAGTTGTAGCATGACTTAGGGCTGGCCGGGACAACTGTGCGGTAATCCAACGTTAGAATTAGATAGGACTGGACATAGCAGCAGCAGGTTGGTTAACTGAGTGCCTACCTCCTGCGCCCAAGTGAACACCTCGCAAAAAGGATCATTGGTCAGAGGACCCGTTTATAACCTACATAGTATACAACCTCAACTTTCAATGCTATAGGTAGACTTTTATATCTCTTCGGCAATCGAATGAGTAAATGGTAAATTGAGATACTTTCACGTTATATTCACCTTATAACTAACTATTCACAGCGAACCACCTAAGGAGTCTGACAATGACACATCAGCATTTCGAAGATCCAATCGTTCAGCATACTATCGTGATGGCTTAGAATCCCAACATTGTCTGATGCCTAGGGTTACTGTCTCCCGAAGTCCAGTGGTCTCGATAGAGGAAGGGACATAGACGAGCGATAAGCACGGGAAGGAGCTACTAGCAAGAATCTGGCGTATTTCTCTGGCTCTCTCAAGGCAGGATTAACTATCAGCCTGCTGACCTGAAAGGAAGCATGAAACAAAATCTTCACTAGGCGGCCCCTCCACCAAACGGTTCCCCACAGGATAACTAACCGTCCGTCAGTAGATTTAGCTACAGGGAGCTTCCGATGAAGCAGTCACTCGTTGAGGACAAGCGTCCCAAACAGACCCCAGTCGAGAACAAGCAATTTAATAAGACTGCCGCGAACGATCCGCCTCATTGCCTATGCCGCAGCTCACCCTTTTCACAAGTTGAGTCCCTGATGTTCCTATGATCCTGCAGTACAAATGTCCCATCCTAGCCGCCCAGCCCCTAAGTGGTTCCGTCGACTATTACCCTTTGTACATGATGGGTCGTGACATAATTCTGGGCCTTTCGGCTCCCATCAGCTTATCGTAAGGCGCTTCAGGAGACCGAGACTCTCTGGCACAGCCTGTCCTACCCAGCTCTTGCTCTTCAACGAAACACCTGATGTCGAGGTAATGCCGCCCCGACCACGGACGATCACTACCCAACAGGCGGCGGTATAGGTTGATGAACCCAAGGTAAAGGTAGTAGGTATTAATGAATATTCCACGTGGGTTGCTGATCTCACTACTACCAAAGACTTCTCGACTCAAATTCATAGTTGCAACCTTCATACCAACCCCCCCAACCCCCCCAACCGCCCAACCACACACACCCTTCTTGCCTCAGCTCCGCAAACTATGACCTTAGTTCGATAGTGACATGAACACCAGTTACCCTCCCGGCCGATATCAGCCTATCCCTCAACTCCTCGGCCCGTGATTCCTCACCAGCCGTCCATACCTCCACCTTCAGCTGCTTCAAGTTCGGTGGCCTAGTCTCTAGGTACTCCAGGATCTTGGCCTCGAGAGTATGCCACCTCGGGACGCTCGGGTCGTCCGCCTCCCACTTGCTATCGTCCCATCGGCAGTGCCACCAGAAAAACATTTCGTTGGTGATTGTGACGCGTTCGATGCTAGCGGGGAGCACGTCAGCGAGCCTCGCTGAGTTCCCCGTCCTCCACCCAAGCAGCACAGGTAGCGATATAGTGACGCGCTTAAGTCGTACAAACCCTCTTAGTGATGCAAGCGTGCCCCGTATACCCCATGGCCCTCGCTCGCCGCAGTCGATAGCCGTAGATGTCCAGAGGGTCACGCTAAAAGACAGATACTCCAGCGAGTGCTTCAGGGTCTCGAGCGATCCGCGCAGAGCGTCCAAATCAAGCCACGACCGGGCGTACTCGGCATCGATGACGTGCTCCCATCGGAGAACCTCCAGGTTCGGGCAAGCCCGGATAAGTCGGTCCATATTTGCTTCAGACAGCTGGGCCCTGCTCATAACCAGTTCCTTGAGCAGCGTCGCGGAGACAGGCCCTCCCTGAGTGGGCCAAGAAACCTGCCGCCTACCATCCTCCACGCGGTGAAGCTCGAGGGCTTGTACCCGTGGTAGGCAGAATAGGGGCAGTATAGTGTCCATGCTGATATAGAAGCCGAACTCCGCGGCCGGGTCATCGTCCGGGTTTGGTACAAAGACCCTAGCCGTTCTAACGTGTGCGAAGGCGGTACCCTCAACTGAAAGCATCTGCCGGCAGAGAAGGGAGATAACGGGGTCTCCCGATGCCGGAGACCCCGGTTGTTCGTCGTCCTCTTCATCTTCAGCCCGGTCAAAGGTCCGGATCTCGAGCGTCTCCAGGGCAGGTAGGCGCGACAGCAAGACGGCAAGAGCAGCGACGTCTCCTGCCCGCTGCAGTCCGCCCACTTCCTTATCCTTAGGAGCAACCGTGTATACATGTTGTGATGGCGTCGTCGCTATAGCATGCGTTATAGGGTTGTCCTCTCGTTCTGCTATCGAGCGCTGCATCGCCGGCTCTACCTGTAGCCACTCTGACGCTCGCGCATAGCACACGGCGGCATAACGTAATGCGTTGAGATGCGCCGGGCTACCTAGCAACTGACGTATATCCTTGATGATAACAGAGGCTGGTGGTGATGATGATGATGAAGAGCCTAAGAGGCGCACTTCCGATCGGCCTCTGTCCCATACTATAGATGTTGGGAGCGTTAGCAACTCGCCAGCCATATCGGATACAGGCGAAAGTCGACTTGGGCTGAAGTGTCTGAACGACAAGGCGTGGTGTATATTTGTGCTCCACAGCAGGCTGTGGTAAGATGTATAAAGCCGCTGCGGATCAGCTATCTTGGAAAGAATAACACGTGTCCAGGCCGCCTAAGTCATCAGTTCTATTTGATGTATCATGTGTAGACGCATACACGTACGCGCAGGAACGATGTCAAGAGTTCGCAGGAGATATTGACGTGGGAGTAGGAGGCAGGTCGGTAAGATATGCGATTGCCGATAGTGGAAGCCCTTTGCATGCTCATGCTATCCGAGACCGCCTTTGTGACGCGCGAGCTCGCCTACTAGATATAAGCTGAGCTTGAGAGCCAGAGAGCGCTTTCGAGCAGAATTATACCGTCAGAGACTAGGTAGCTATGAGTCAGGCGATCCGCCCGTCGGGAACAGCGTGTGATTGCCCAGAGCTCGGTCCATGCGGTGTGGCCTTAAGATCGAGGCCTCTGCAGCGGTGACGTCCGAACCAATGAAACTTCTAAGCAGGGCTGGGGTCCCAGCCCCAAGAGCTGGACGTCGAACCCTTACTCAGTTATTCCATGCCGGAACGCGTCGAGATACGGCCATCCGTGTACAGCTATTGGCCCGACCCGACCGGAGCCCCACCAGTCAACCCCTGCCCGACTTGGAAATCTCGACGCGTTCCCTAGAGCCTCCGATTGGCCGGCATTGACTTCAGTGTCTCCACCTTCAATTGAAATCTCGACGCGTTCTGAAATGAAACCTCTTCCCCTGACTGACGGTTCGTGAACTGGAACCAAGAGTGGTAGGTCAACAGCTTCTGCTATAGAGAGTGAGAGAAAACGAAGAAAAGTAAGCAAGAGAGAAAAAAGAAAAAAGTTTATAGGGAAGTAATAATCAAGAAGAAAGCAGGGGGAAAAAACCGTTTTCTATTACACCTCTCTCATTAGAGAAAAACGGTTGGATCAGCTCCCAGCGAACATGACTCTCCCATCTCCTTTTCCGTCGTCGTCGCCGCCGTCCGGGCCCACGGCACCGCACAGCTTGACGGACAAGCAACGAGCAACGCCGGCGCTTAGAAGCCTTGCAACTGCATTTAAACGAGCCTGAGCCGGTCCTTATCTGCCGGCCTTGCGGCTACGCCTTGAAGCCGTTCGGGGAGCGCGTGAGCCGCCACCTGGCCGAGAAGCATGAGGTTCCCAAGCCACAACGCCGTGGACTGAGCGCGTTAGTGAAGTCCCTACATCTAGGGGACCCAAACGACGTTGCTCTCCGTCCCGACGGCCTCCCACCGCACGAAGCGCTGACGGTCACCCGCGGCCATGCCTGCTGCCACTGTAGCTACCGGACGGCGAGCGATGACCTGATATGCCGCCACATCGCAAAATCACACGGCATCAAAGGCTTGCGGAAGACGGACAGCTGGCAACGGGACCACATCCACAGCGGCGTCCTGCTACAGAGCTGGTCGCAGAACGGTGCGCGGGGCTTCTGGATAGCCCAGCCTACCGCGGCGGGGTTAACGCCGCCCCGCGAGACGGGCTCTCCTGATGCCGACGATGTGCCCGCCGCCCAGCATGCTCTGCTCGCCGCGGCTCACGATGCGGAAAGAGCCCAGCTCGCCGGCGGTCTCCGTACTACCGCTTCTACCACGGGGCCTGTCGATATTGCATTCCAGACCGGCTGGATGCGTCGCACCGGCTGGGATCTCATGTTCGACGGCGCACGCCGCGACTTCCTCGTGAAGATGTCGGAGCTGCCGACCGCCGGCCGGGATGTCCAGGACGTTGATGAAGACGACATGCCCCATTCGAGCCTCCCAGAGGACGAAGCCCGGCTACGACGTATCGTGTCGGCCGTCGACGGTGTCTTCAACCGCTGCGAGGATACGATACGCTCCATGGATGTCTCCATGCGCTGTTGGCTCCGCAGCACGGAGCCCCACCGCCCGTACAAGGCGCCATTCGAGCTCGTCGGCCGGCAGGCCACCACGTATAAGTACCGCAGCCTGGTGAAAAGGCTTCTGTGCTTCTGCATACGGCTATGGCGTCTTCCGCTGGGGACGCGGCTGTCACAGTGCCGGAGAAGCCTTACCATCGCCCAGTCACGCGCGCTTGACGCATTGTGGTCCGACGAACTCTGGAACACCTCACGCCTGGATGACGCCGCGGCCTCCGCTAGCCCTACCAGGTCCGGCGCCGTCTCGCCTCACGAGGAGGCAACAGATGCAGACGAACGCCGCATGTTGCGCACGACAACAAGGACGAGGGCCCGGGGGATACCATCTCATCAATCACCAAGCTTCCTAGCTGGTGGAGATCTCAGTGATGATGATAGCAACAGAAGTACGACTGAGACTGATGATGATGAGAATGACTATGAAGACCTTCTCAGTGAAGGTTTGGCGGGTTTAGAGGATTTTGGCCATGAGGACACGAATGTCAGCAGCTATACAGATACCATCGAGGACGGCTTGACAACTGACGCAACAGCCAGCCCCCCACCGTTTTCAGGTCAGTCTCCTTTTATCATTTCTCCCGCCCTTTGCCTAGCAGGTTTACTCAGCAGGTGTCTACAGATTTGAGTCCAGCGGGCGGCTACTTCTCATCCGCACTTGAGGATCTCACGCTGCGCCTGCTGTACTTCCTCATGACAGAGGATTTTGAGGACGGCCAGTCTAAGTCGACCCTCCTGGTCTACTTCGGCGGAGTCCTCGGCCTCACGTCCGACGGGTCCGGGTTCCGGCGCCCCGGGAACTACACAGCGAGCCTATCAGCGTTCATCTACTGCGCCCGCTTAGTCGTCGTCGAGGTGTTGCTCCCCCGGACCAGCCACGACTATGTGAGCTATCCAGCAAGGCCCCGCAGCGGACAGCTCGACATACTCAACCGTGTCCGCCGAGAGACGATGTGCCTGGGGTCGCAAGCGCCAATCGGCGAGTTCCTGAGCCTCCGCGCGTATGGGCGGGTACTAGCTACTGCTGACGGGCCTAGCTTCCGCTTTGACTGGAGCGACGACGGCCAGACGATCTTCTGGGACGACGGGCGGCTGTCCCTGCAGCAGTTCCGGTCTCTCGCGCACAAAATGGTCGAAACTGTAGCTGCAGCCGTCGAACGGTTGATGTATGGCTGGCACCCAGTTTTTGATCTATCCAAGACCAAGGATCGGATGGTCAACACACACCAAGGCTATTCCTTCGTCTCGGAGCCGGCGAACGGCCTTCAGGAGGCCTACCTAGACCTCTCGCAGCGAGCGTGTCTCTCCAAGATTGATGGCCTCTTGTCCAAGGATGGTTGGGTGGTGCGCCGGGTGCAGCGCTATATCAACGATAGTGAGGCGCTGCTGTCTGCACTGTTCGCACTGATCCACCTCACTGGGGGACAGGCTGCGCGAGGATCCGAGCTAACAAGTGTTCAATACCAAAACGGTACATCTACGCCGCGCGGTGTCTATATATATTCCGGAGCACTCGTTCTCATCACAAGGCATCACAAGACACGGCACATAACAAACAACGAGTTCCAGGTAGCGAGATTCCTCCCAACTGCCGTGGGACGACTTCTCTACCTCTATCTTGTCTACATCCGGCCTTTCACAAGCATGCTTACCAGAGTATGCCTCTGTGCGCCTGATACGCCCGGGACCTAACATACTGGCAACGACGGCTTCAAGTAGAAGCCGTTGAAATCCTAACATACTGGCAACGACGGCTTCAAGTAGAAGCCGTTGAAATCCTCACCAAAAAATAAGTGGGTCCGTGCAGACAGGGGGTAGAAGCCGTTGTTTTCCAGTAGTGAAGAAGCCGTTGAGATTTCCCGCAGTAAAATACACAAAAGTAGGATGCAATGAAAGCTTGAATGAAGGCAATTATAACCATCTAGTTCTCAGTTCGATAATCAGCAAGGTGAGTCTAGAAATCGATGAATAGCGTAGTTGATGTTTTCGTGATGCGGTCCCAAACCCCACATTAACTAGCCAATCACATAACAGGGATATCAGCCAGGCCAGAAAGCCCGACCGACTGATGGAACGCAGTCAGGGAGGAAAGTAGATCAAGGAGAAAGTATACGGAATTAAGGGGCAGGAAGGTAAGGTTATAAAGAGAGGACAGGAGGAATCATTTAATAGTAGTAGACCAAAGCAAGCCATCCGTATAGGTAAACATGGAGCCATTCGTCCACAACGCGCAGTATTCCATTCTGATATGCACATCATGTCAGTATGCAGTAGTAGCGAACGAAGTCACAGCACATCTGCGGAACCACCATCGGTCAATCACCGCCAAGGCCAGGGGAAAAGTGGCTAAATCGGTCAGCAACATTCCCAGCATCATCCGCAGCCAGGCCGATTTGCAGTCGTTCCAATACCCAGACCCCACGGTTGAGCCAATTGCTGATATTGCACCACCCCGGGCGGACGGTTTACGTTGCCACGCGTGCCGTTATATTTGCCGCCGCGTGCGAAATATGCAGGAGCATTGTCGGGTAGAACACAGATGGGAGAATGATTGGCACAAGGGGGGTGATGTTCGCAAGAAAGCCACCGCAGTCAGGGATTTACCGTGGACAACAGGGGTGCCGTGCCAGCGGTTTTTCTTAACACGGGCCGCGAGCGGATGGTTCGAGGTGGCCCAGGGACAGATAGCCGACGAGTCTCTGCAAGGCGCTCCGAGTAGAAGCCCGGCTCAACAGGCGGTGGACCGCGTTCGAGATCTCCGGAAAGTCCAAGCAGAACGTGTGAAGACGAGTCACGATGAGCTGATCCGCGTCGCCAACGAAAGACTCGAGCCCAGCCCGTGGCTGGCCCGTGTAGGATGGGCGGTGCACTTAAAAGGGCTCAGTGCCAGCGCACTCTAACATCACGTCCACGATGGCTGACGTCGGAAGCCATTGAACGCCCCACCATGGAATTAGGTGGGTCCGTTGAGACAAGGGCGGAAACCGTTGTTCACAGCAAGGTGGAAGCCGTTGAGATTTTCCGTAGTAAAATAGGTAAAAGTAGCATGCAATTAAAGCCACAATCGGTATAATTATAGGAACCCAGTTCTCAGTGTTTTATTCCGTGATATGAGTCCAGAAATAGGTGAATAGGGTAGTAGATGTTTTTGTGATGTCGTCCGAATCCCCGCATTAACCAGCCAATTATATAACAGGACCATCAGCCAGGCCAGAAAGCCCGACCGAGCGATGGAACGTAGGCAGGGAGGAAAGTAGATCAAGGAGAAAGTATATGGAATTAAGGGGCAGGAAGGTGAGTTTATAAAGAGAGGACAGGAGGAACCAGTCATAAACAGTAGATAGAAGAAAGTAACCAATACATGCCAAAGATGGAGCCATTCGTCCACAACACGCAGTATTCCATTTTGATATGCACATTATGTCAGTACGCCGTATTAGCCAACGAAGCCACGGCGCATTTGCGGAATAACCATCGGTCAATCCCCGCCGAGGCCAGGAGCAAGGTCGCCGGATTAGTCGGCGATATTCCCGGCATCATCCGCAGCCAGGCCGATTTGCAGTCGTTTCAATACCCAGACCCCACGGTCGAGCCAGTTGCCCATATCGCACCGCCCCGGGCGGACGGTTTGCGTTGCCACGCATGCCGTTATGTGTGCCGCCGCGTGCGAAACATGCAGGAGCATTGCCGGGCAGAACACCGGTGGGCGAATGATTGGCAGAAGGGGGGCAATGTGCGCAAGAAAGCCACGGCAGTCAGAGATTTGCCGTGGACAACAGGCGTGCCATGCCAGCGTTTTTTTTTAACACGGGCCGCAAGCGGATGGTTCGAGGTCGGGCGGGGGTTAGGGGTGGCCGTTCAAAGCGAGCCATCGGGGCCGGGGACGGACGACACGGCGTGGTTCGTCACGTTGCACGAGAACCAAGAGAAGCGGTTCGAGGCCGACGCGCGCGAGGAGGTCAGTACAGTGGACGAAAAGTTGGAGCCGAACGGGTGGTTGTACCGCGTCGGGTGGACGAGGGATTTGGAAGGGTTGAACAAGACGCAGTTACAGGAGGCCACGCGACCAATTGAGGATGGCGAGGAGACGTTAGAGGCCATATGGGCCGTGTTCAACAGCGTCGCCGACAAGGCATGCGCAACAGCAGCACCGCACAAGGTCGGGCACGACGTGTTGTTCGAGGCGGAGCGGAAGGAGATCGGCCAGAAGCCGGTGCGGCCATTCGACAACCGCATGGAGGACGACACGTGGCAGCGGTACAAGGAGGTTTGGCGTAAGATGGTGAGCATATGGTTCCGCATGGACGAGTGGCCGGAGCGCGAGCGGCCGCCGTATCGGTTCACCATGCGTCAGGGGTCGTTGTGGGATGCGTTCACCAGCCGTGTCGAGGCGGATGTCGGCAGCAGGCAGGCCGCGCAGGCGGAGGAGGTCGAGAGGATGTGTTTGGACGCCATCATCGCCATCATCGAGGACCCGTACAAGCAGAGCCAAAAGGAGAGCGCGATGATCGGCGCGTTGGCGGTGTTGGGCATCCGCGAGGACGGCGGGTGGCACCAGGCGACGGAGTACACGACGAATTATTCAGCCGTGATCAAGGTGGCCAAGATGTTCGTCGTGTACCAGGCGTGGTTGGAGCGGAAGGACGAGGTGGTGGCGTTGACGGCGACCAAAGGGGCCGAGGCGGCGTACGAAGAGGCCAGCAGCGTGTTCCATTTGGTGCGCGACAAGGTGCGGCGGTTCATGACGCGGATGCCCGGGCGGCCGGACGACGAGCCCAGGGCGATGAATTGGATTTACGACGCGCGCACGTACGGGATGCATATCCGGTTTAACACGGTGGCGCCGGGGATGGTGGATTGGAGCGGCGACCGGATATCGTTCCGGCGGGTGCGGGTGCGGGTGTGCGAGTTGGCCGAGATGTTCCACGGGGTAGCGCAGGAGGCGCGGACGTTGTTGGCGCAGTTGGCGGTGGTGGACGGGGATGGGGATAGGGATAATGATCCCGACAGGGACGGGCACGGCGATGGGTACGGAGGCCGATCAGCGTTAGCAGCAGCGTTGCCCGCCATCAGGTGGGACAGCATGCACGACGACCACAGCCAGGACCGGCCGGGGTATTCGTTTTTACACGACGACCGCAACGAGGCGTGGGTGGGCAAGGGGAAGGGGTGGATCGCACGGCGCATCGCAGAGTCGGAGGCACGGCGGCGGGCGTGGTTAGACCCAACGCGAGGGGCGGCGGCGGCGGCAGTGGCAGCAGCAGCAGCAGCAGCAGCAGGACAGGCGGAGGAGGTCACGTCCAACCGCAGCGATAGCCACCACCCATACCGCGAGAGGACGGTGCAGGCATACAGACAGGCGTTGGAATCGTTCCGGGAGCGGTTGTGGATGTTGATGCACATGGTGGCAGGGCAGCCGGCGCGGGCGCCCGAGTTAGCAGGCATCAGACACAGCAACACGGCCAACGGCGGGGTCAGGAACGTGTTCGCACACGACGGCATGATATGTTTCGTCACGTCGTACCACAAGAATTACCGCCAGACGGGGACGGCCAAGGTGATACACCGGTATTTGCCGCGCGAGGTCGGCGAGTTGTTGGTGTGGTATTTATGGTTAGTGTTGCCGTTTTGGCAGCAGGTAGGAGGCATCATCCATCAGACGGACCGGAAGAGCGCATTTTTATGGGCGGACGACGTGGTTGTAAGGGGCAGGGCGGCGGGCGAGGCGAGCCGTGATAACACCAGGGGCGACGAGCGCCGCAATAACACCAAGGACAACGACGCCCGTGACAACACCGAGGACGACGACGCCCGTGACAACACCATCACAGACGAGAGCGCCAACGCCACCCCCGGCCGGGCGCCGTGGACGGACGAACGGTTGTGGACGTCAGACAAGGCAAGGCGGATCATGCAGCAGCACAGCGAGCGGTTGGTCGGCAGCAAGATCAACATCAGCGGGTGGCGGCACATGGCCGTCGCCATCGCCAACCGGTATTTGAACGAGGCGTTCGGACGGGCAGACGACAAAAACAACGACAACGACGACAACGACGACGACATAGGCGTCGAGGACAGCGCATTGGATTTGCAGGCCGGGCACGGCACGCACGTGGCGGGGATGATATACGGGCGGTTGTACCAGGAGGCACCGTTCGGCACGGCGGCGTTGCGGGACAGGTTCCGGGCCGTCAGCCGGCAGTGGCACCGGTTGTTGGGGTTCGGGGCGGAGGACCGGGGCGGCGGGGCACCCACCAAGCGGCGGCGGACGGCGACGACGGCGGCGGACGAGGAGTTCGAAGGGCAGCGGCGGCGGCGGTTCACGCGGTTGCAGTTAGCCAACGCCGGCGGGCAGTTGCGGCAGATGATGGGGGACCCGCGGGCGGCGTTCCGCGGCCAGCAGGAGCGGGTCATCCGGTCGATCATGCGCGGGGACGACCCGATCGTGCAGGTGACGGGCACGGGCGGCGGCAAGAGTTTGTCGTTCATGTTGCCGGCGTATTGCGCACCGGACGGGGTGACGATCGTCGTGACGCCGTTGGTGGCGTTGCGCACCGACATGGACGCGCGGTGTTCGAGGTCGGGGTTGGCGTCGACAACGTGGCGCGGCGGCGGGCGGGCCAACACGGCCGCAGCAACGGTGGTGTTCGTGACGCCCGAGTCGGCCGTCACGCAGGGATTCCGGGATTTCGTCGGGCGGTTGCAGCGGCGGCAGCAGTTGGACCGGGTGGTGTTGGACGAGTGCCACGTCGTGTTGGATGGGTCGAGGGGGTTCCGGCCGGCGTTGCGGGCGTTGGGGCGGACGGTGCAGGAGTTCGGGGCGCAGTTGGTGTGTTTGACGGCGACGTTGCCGCCGGCGGAGGAGCGGGAGTTTTTCGCCGTGACGGGGATCCGGCAGGAGCGGGTGCGGGTGTTCCGCGAGGCGACGACGCGGAGGAATATCGAGTATGGGGTTGTTGTCGTTGCGTTAGGGTCAGGGGGTGGGGGTCGTGGTCGTGGTCGTGGTGCGGCAAGCCACAGGCGCCGGGCAGAGTCAGGGTTAGGGTTAGGGTCAGGTCGGGAGGGTGAGGACGGCGAGTTGAGCGCCGTCGAGGAGCGCGGTTGCCAGGAGGTCAGGGATTGGTTGCGGCAGCAGCCACGCGGCAAGGCGGTGGTGTACAGCAGCACGATCGAGGGCGTCGAGCGGATGGCCGAGGCGTTGGGGTGCGCAGCGTTCCACAGCAGCATCGGCAGCACGGAGGACAAGGCGTCGAGGTTGGAGGCGTGGAGGATGGGCGACGGCGCCGATGGGGGCGTCATCGTGGCGACGAACGCGTTGGGGTTAGGCATCGACGTGCCGGACGTGCGGTTGGTGGTCCACGCGGGCATGCCGCGGCGGTTGCGGGATTTCGTCCAGGAGAGCGGGCGTGCCGGGCGAGACGGCCAGCCAAGCCGGTCGGTTGTTATATGCAGTAGGGCAGCCGTGGAGGAGAAGGAGAAGGAGAAGCAGAAGGAGAAGGAGGCAGGGGAGGCAGAGAAAGATGGGAGGGCAGCCGGAGGGGGATGGGAGGTGTCAACAAGGACATACATCAGGGGAGAGGTATGCCGGCGGATTGTGTTAGACGAGGTCATGGACGGGCGGGTGGACCGTCCAGGGTGCGAGGAGGGCGAAGAGGCATGCGACATATGCCGGCAGAGGGCGTCGGAGGTGATGTGGGTAGACGACGGGGATGGAGATATGGATAGGGACAAGGACGGGGATAGAGAGGGACATGGAGCCAGAGAAGACGAAGAGATCAGGGCCGCGTTCGAGACCAGTCAGCAAGCCAGGCAGTTCCGCCAGTGGCAGGCCAGGGCAGAGCGTTCAGGGTTAGGGGAGGAGGGGGAGACGTTCAAGCAGCAGTTGGCGCGGTGGGCGGGACGGTGCACGTATTGCGGGATACGCCGGAGAGAGAGCGACGGGCACACGTTAGACGATTGCCCAGGCCGCGGGGAGCAGGCGTGGGGGTGGACGGCGCAGTACAGGAGGCAGATGGAAGAGGCCATGTTCGACGGACGGATGATGGAGAATTTCAGCAGTTGTTTCCATTGCGGATTGCCGCAGGGTTGGTGTCGGCGATGGGAGCCGTTGGGCGAGGACGGCGGGCGGTTCACGGAGGTCGAGGGCGGTTCATGCCAGTACCAAGGGTTGATGGTTACGATGTTCGCCGTCGCAACGATCGGTGTGGGGTCGAGGGTGTACGAGGAGACGGTGAGGGCGATGCGCAGAGCGGACGGGTTAGAGGAGTGGGCATCGAGCGAGAAGGAGGTATATAAGTGGTTAGGGCAGATGATCCAATGGGGAGGGGTGCAGTCAAGCAAGTTGTGCCGGTTGACAAGCCAGTTGTGGCAGAAGGCAGTAGAGGGCGTAGCAGAGGGGTGATCAGGCAGGGCAAGGCGGGGCGAGTAGGGGCCGTACATAGGAGTACGACAGTTTAGGGTAGGGAGTAGGGAAGTATAGTAGTAAAGGATAATAGAAAACAGAGCATCAGATGTTTTTTCACACAGAAAGATTTAATAGCACAAGAGAGCAGGAGGTGGAAGATGACAAAGAGTAACAGAGGGGATGAATCATGAGCAAGGAGCAAGAAGGGGGGAATACAAGGAGCAGCAAAAGGTATAGGCAACAGTGGAAGGATGGAAAGAGCAGAGAAAGGGGCCGGAGAGAAGGGAAAAAAAAGAAGTAAAAAGGGGATGTAAGAGCGTGAATATAATACAGATGTAGTGTTAAAGATTTCAGGGCCAGTTTTAGGGTTAGATAGCATAGCAGAACAAAAGGGCAGAACAGTAAGAGGTTCGTTAACAAAGGCGAATTAGTAAGAGTATAGGAGTTATAATAAAGCAGATTCGGGGGCAAGCAGAGGGAAAGAGAATAGTATTAAGATAATAGGAAAGAGTAAAAGATTTGTTATAGAAAGAGAGCAGAGTACACCGAGAAAAATTACAGCCAAAAAGGGGTAGCAAGGTCAGCAAGAGAGGGGGAATTAAAGAATCACATACCAAAGATAGCAGATTTATACAGTAGACAGTAGTTAAAGATAAAGGGAGGTAGAAAGAAAGTAGACAGAGAGAAATAGAAATACAAACAGATAGAAGACCAAGGGGGGAAAAGTAAAAAAAACGGATTTCAGTAAAAGAGAGGGAGGGAGATTCATTTAGCAGCCCATAGAGGTAGAGTATAGGGGAGCCAGGGTTAGTACACAGTAAAGGTCAGAGATAGGTTAAAGAGAAGGATTAAGGTCAGAGTAGGAATCAAAGTCAGGAATACAGCAAACAGAAGGGTCAAGAATAGGGCAGAAATAGAAGTCAGCAATAAAGCAAAGTTCAGGAGGGATAGAGTTAAGAAACAGATAATAGAGGGGACATACAATTAGCAAGCAACAAGAAAGGGGGGATCCAAGGAGCAGAGGAAAGTAGAGGCAAGAAGGGTAAAGTATAGAGAGGAGAGAAGGGATAGGGAAGACGGGAGGAATATAAAGAGCAGAGAAAGAGACAAAAGTAAAGAGGGCAAGGAGAGGAGCGAAAAGGGAACATAGGAATATAAGCATAATATAGACAGATACAGAGTTGAAGATAACAGGACCAGTTTTAGATTAGATAGCATAGTAGCATAGTATAACAAAAGGGCCGAGTAGTAAGGTGTTCGTCCGTAGAGGCGAGTTCGTAAGAGTATAGGAGTCGTTATAAAGAAGATTAGAGAGTAAATAGAGAGAGAGATAAGGGAGTAAGATAGTAAAAAAAGAGTTATAAGTTATTCACAAAACAAGGGTTATGTACCACGAGAAAGGTTATAAACCAAAAGGTTAGAAGAGTAAGTAAGAGAGGAGAAGTTAATAAGTAACAAACGAAAGATAGCAGATTCATAAGGTAGATAGTTAATATATATAATAGAGTAGGAAAGGGAAGAAAGGAGTTAGAGGGAGAAAGGAAACATACACAGACAGGATAACAAGGAGGAATAATAAGTAAACAGAGTTAGGTAAGAAAGAAGGAGGAAGGTTCATATAGCAACCCACAGATGGAGAGCATAAGCAAGTCAGAGATCGTACAAAGTTAAGGTTAGGGATATGTCAACAGGAAAGGGTTCGAGATAGAGCAGGATTAGAAGTTAGGATAGAGTAAAAGAAAAAGGGGGTGAGGGATAGAGCAGGAATAAGAGTTAGGGATAGAGCAGAAATAAAGGGCAGAATTAGAGCAGAGAAAAGGATAAAGGATAGGTTAAAGGAAAGGGGTTAGAAGTAAAGCAGAAATAAAAGTGAGGGTTAGAATGAAGGAAAAGGTAAGGGACAAGGCGAAAATAGAAAGTTAGAAATAGAGTAAAAATAAAAGTCAAGGATAGGGTAGAGAACAAGGTAGGGGATAAGTTAAAAGAGTAAGGTTAGGGTTAGAGCAGAAGTAAAGGTAAAGGTTAGAATAAGGAAGAGGGTTAGAGATAGGTTAAAAGAAAAGGGTTAAGGATAGGGTAGAAATAGAAAGTTAGAAACAGAGCAGAAATAAAAGTAAGAGTTAGAGTAGAGAAAAAGTTCAAAATAGAGTAGGGATAAAAGTTAAGGATAAAGTAAAGGAAAAACAAGAGGGGTGTTTATATTAATAAAGTAAGGTAGTTAGTATAAGCAGGCATAAATAAGAGAGAGAGAGAGATTCCAGTCCAAAGCCAGAGTCAAAAGTTCCCATTCAGATACAAGTGGATGGGCAGCATTATAGAGAATTCCAAGTTCATAATATATACAGATTATATAACACCAAGATATAGAGGAATAGTAAGCACCAGATAAATTAACACAGAACAAGCCGAATAAGGTTCCAAAGACAACCATTTTATCATAAGGTCAGGGGCATGGTAAGAAGGGGAAGCAGGACACATTTTACCAGTAGGCAGGAGTACAGGGGAATCAGTTTAGGATAGGGGAGGGGTTGATAATAAGTAGATAGAGGAGATATCAAAGTAAGGAGTTCATCGCAAGGAGAATATTTCAGTACATAAGGACAGAAGGGTTAGGGAAGAAAGGGAGTAAAAATAATCAACAAGTTCAAGTTTAAAAGAGGTAGATAAAAATATAGTAAGGTAAACCGTAAGTATAAGTTCAGGATAAGAGAAGGCGTGAAGATATAAAAGGGAAGAGATAGTAGAAAGGAAGAGGTAAGGTTTAGAAGGGGGTAGTTTACAATATAAAGGACGAACGAGAATTAAAGCAGAGGTCCAAGGGAAAGAATTAGGAGGAGAAAGATACAGATGGAAGGAATAAAGGATGAGCAAGAGAGAGAAAGAAGAAGGAAGAGAAAAAAAAAAGGTAGGGTTAGTATATAGCAAAGAGGTTAGTGACAAAGCAAGAGTTAGAGGGATAGAGACAAAGCAGGAGCGAAGCAGAGACAAGGGAAAATACAAAAACAGGAATTTAGATAGTAAAGGCGTTTTAAGAGGGTTTAGGGTTAGGAGTAAGAGAGGATAGAGAGAGAGCAACAGGAAAGGGTTAGGGACAGGGGAATTAGAAAAGGTTAGGGATAGAGAAAGGAAGAAGGTTAGGGATAGATAAAAGAACAAGGTTAGGGATAGATAAAAGGAAAGGGTTAGGGATAGATAAAAGGAAAGGGTTAGGGATAGAATAAAAGAACAAGGTTTGGGATAGATGAAAGGAAAGGGTTAGGGTTAGATGAAAGGAAAGGGTTAGGGATAGAATAAAAGAACAAGGTTAGGGACAGGTGAAAGGATTAGGGTTAGGGTTAGGGTTAGGGTTAGGGTTAGGGTTAGGGTTAGGGTTAGGGTTA